ACCTGACAAGCAAGAAAAAAAAATAAACGAAACAAAGCAGATAACCTACCTAGCAACCAACCTCCCGTTTCCATACCAGGAGGGGAAGCAATATACCGTGATCATCTCCCCCACCCGCTCAACCCAACGAGGGGGTGTGCTCAACACATGACAAATGAAAAGAAAGAAATTCAAGTTCTAAGGGTATTCGTAATGCTGCTTCCGACGCTGCTCATGGTCTCGCTCAGCTTCTCGCCCATGCCGCCCGCCCAGCTCGGCAGCTTGAGCGTCATGCGGATCCTGCCCTCGACAACCAGGTGGATGAGGTTGATGACGGCAAACGTGGTCGACCCGATGGCGCGGAAGACGGCCAGGCCCGCGACGCTCCAGAGCAGGAAGCGCAGGTAAAAGTTGTCGCCAATGCCCTTGTTGCTGTACACCTCGGACACGGCCATGGCCAGGATGGCGTTGAGTCCCATCCACGAGACCACCATGTACGTTCGCACGCTCTTGTAGTAGTCTTCCTGCAGCTGGGCCTCGCTCGGGGGCGTCTCCGGCACCTCGACGCGGTCTCGCAGGTTGCGCAGAGCCTCATCGTATCCGCTATCGATATCGAGCTGCTCGCTGGGCATTTCAAGCTCGACCGTTTCGCCCTTGCCAATGGCGCCTCCCAGGTCCGTCTTCATGACGTTGTCGCCCTTGGTGCCCCAGGTGACGTCGTGCGTGTTGCAGAAGGCGTAGACTTGCAGGGTGCAGATGTAGCTGGGCAGCAGGAGAAAGTACTGGCCGGCAGAGGTGAACATGTGCCACGGGTCGAGGTACAAGAACGACATGGCAAAGTACAGACCAATGGTCGACGTCATGGAGACAATGAGGTTCGTAAACACGTTGTTACCCAATGTGAACGTGATGCCGCTGTCCTTGTCTGTGAACTGCCTGACGACGATGTAGATGATGGCGAAGGTCGTGTACACCATGATGATGCTGTAGATGATCATACTGCCCAGATAGAGCCTCCTGGCGCCCTGCGGACGATTACCAAGCGACAGGATGAACTGGACAGCAATGAGCAAGATGCACGAGTACCGCAGGATGATGAAGATGACGTTGCCAATGCCGTGACCGAACGGATCGACTCGTGGGTCTGCCAACCCGCCGGCGACGAAGTAGAAAGCCAGATAGAAGTTTGCGAGAGAAAAGTACGTGAAGAGCAGCTGGACAAACTGGTAGACAAATTCAATGTACAGGAGGACCTTGCGAGCAAGAGTGTGATCCGTCTGCAGAATCTGTCGGAACTGGACCAGGGAGTAGACGGCAGCGAAGAAGGCACCGTTCAACCATCTTCTTCGCTGGGAGATGAACTCGGGAACGGAATCTGGATTGACATCATGTTAGTCCGTTTCCCTCTTCACACGCGCAAAGTTAACAAAAGAGATAATAGGAGACACTTACCGGGAACATCCGTTTCTCCATGGCAGCCCTTGACATACTTCAAGACCCATCGCTCTCCCCGCTTGGCCACAAGCTCCCAACACAGGATACGATCTTCAGCCAGATACATGTTGGCCGTAAACACGTCCGCATGCTGTCCATGGAGAGTCTCGCCCTTGAAGTATTGGCTCAACGGTCCATGACCGGTCTCGTCGTTTTGCAGCGCGTGGTAGCGGTAGGCACTGAGGGCACCGGGCAACACGGTAATGTACCCAAAGACAGATTCGAGCGGCTTGTCCAGAATGTTGGACATTTTGTACTCAAAGTTCTGAGACGCAACCAAGGGGTTCAGCAGGTATGACCCATATTTGCCCTTCATGGCCTTGATTTCACCACAGGCCCCGGCCACATTGGAGTCAAAGTCGAAAGCCTTCCAGAGGTGATACAGCGAGGTGCCTCCGGGGCGAGTTCCCACATCGAGGAGAATGCAAACGTTGGGGTTCAGGGCCTTGCCAAACGCATTGAAGAACCAACGGTGCGAGTTGAGCTTGCGCGAGTTCTTCTCCTTGAGGCAAAAGATGATTTGGCACGGAACGATGCCCTTTTCGGCACCCTTGAACTTGAGATCCGAGTCGAGCGAGACCTGCGTCGTGTATTCGTAGACGTGCGCCTGCACGGCTCTGTTGTTGACAAAGTTTTTGGCGATGCCGTGCTGGTAGACGCCCATGGCAGCCAGGGCATCCAGTGTACGCGGATGAATCTTCTCACGGCCGTCAGAGATGATGCAGACAACAATCTTTTGCCAACCGTTTTCACCCCAGGTACGAGATCGGGATCGGGAGCAGAAGTGCGAGATGTTCTTCATGACGGCGTACATGGTGCGCGTGAAGAGAATCTCGTCTTCGTTGTACATGGTGATGCAGATGAACAGCTCCGTCTCTCGAGTGGTGCGGCCAATGTGCTGTCGCAGCTTGTACCCCCTATCGACAAAGTCGTCGGGATCGCACGTCACCGCAGTGTATCTCATGTGAGTGAACTCGACCTCGTCGCGCCGTGGCAGGAAACTGTAGAGAATCGTCGGGATCTTGCACTCCAAGACCAGCTCTCCATTGATGAGCGGGACTTCCTTCTTGGCCATTTGCGGAGCGCGGACACCTCGTCTCTCTTGCGCTCCGTCGGGCGCAGGGCCATAATGCTCATACTTATCGTAGTATTCCTGGTCCTCGCCCAGGGTTTCCTGAGAGCCTGCATACGAGTCGCGGTCATCGCCGTAGTGGCCTGCCTCCTCGTCGTACTGGTCGTAGTGCTCATAGTTGTCGTAGTGGTGAGGAGACTCACCGAGGTCAGACTCGGGGTCAAAGAATTCGTCATCCTCGCGGTGGTCCAAAGGAATGGAGACGGTGATATCGTCAGGAAACTGCGAGGCCCGCGATGAGTTGCCATAGCGAGGCGCCGGGGGCAAAGGTCGTCGCGGGCTGCCGCCATATCGCGATGACGGAGTTCCTGGTCGGGGGCTGCCGTTGATGTCGGAGGGCTCGTAGGAGGCATGAGACGCCGGGGGCCGAGAGTAGTCCGTCATTCTCGATGCTGGTGACCACGGCCTGTGGGAGGGATCCCTGGTGTCGTAGGACATGTACGACCCATCTGGCGGCGGAATGCTAGGCGCATCGTCCAGGATGGACCCGGTCCGCGTGTGGGAGGAAAAGACACTGGGGGCATACTGAGGCTGCGGCGATCGCGAACTAATCGGCCTATCGTGTGAGCTTCTGGTCTTCCATCTAACTGTTGGTTTGATTCTTTTCGCAGCCGGCTCCGCTGGAGCAGCGGCAGTGGCAGCAGCGTCGACTACTGTAGGCTGAGCCAGTGGTTGAGCCGCTGCTTTGGCAGTTTGCTGAGACGGGGAGTGATCGCATGCCGAGAGGCTTCCTCTTCGTCGCCGGAGTCGCTCACTTGGCCCCTCCGGGATGGTTGGTAGAGCTTCAGCGAGGTTCGGGGAGCCGCTGAGCGCTGAACTCGCTGGACTGTGCAACTTTGCAGTGATGGTTGGGCGAAGCTGTTTGATGTAGAGGGGAGGAGGAATAACAACGTCAAGCTTGGGCAGGGGACGGTGAAGGACTGAAGGAGAGGAGGAAGAGGGATGAGGGAGGGGAGGAGGAAGAGAATCATCCGCCGTGGTTGCTGCTTGCATCTCCGGCTCTTGCCTGGTCTCCAAGCTCGAGGCGGCTGCTGGACACTCGTCGAAAGCCATGGTGGACGCCTCGGGTTCGCGATCCGGTCCTTGGTGTTTCGATGCTTCCTTGGGGTGCAAGGACAGCATCGAGACGGACGGCGACGACATGGTATTAAGGAATGCTGGTGTTGCCAATGGCGACGGCTGTGTTACGTACGGTCTGTCTCTGTCGACGGGCTCCTCGACGGATGTCAACAGTCTAACGGCGGCGGCGCCATGGCCGGTGGGCGAGTCGAGCTCGTCGTCGTACGGCGGCAGGCTATAGCCCGGCGGGTGGCGGTCCATTGCGAATGCGGCGAGGTATGCCGTGTGTTTTGGCGATTAAGCTTTTGGAATGCTGACCAGCTGGAGGGTTAGATTGGGATGCGAGACACCTGATGGACGGCCTTGCGCAACCGCGAATGCTTCACTTAGGCCAGAGGCGACGAGGGGCGGTGTCGCGCCACGGTCATGGGGTCTCGATTGAAGCCGGCGCTGTGTTGACAGTCGTTAGTAACGATAAGGATAAAACGAGCGCACGTCTCAACCGCTCCGCGAACAAGGCATGAAGAAGTTTGGATGCGGTTGAGGGACTGAGCTGCATAAAGATTAAAAGGCGGGTGCGTTATGGCCAGGCACAACTACAGGCAGGACAGGGCCCCGGCAAGGTACAGCAAGGCACCGCAAGGCATGCTCACGGTGGGGATCGCGGCCGCAGCTGTGCAGGGCCCGCGACCAAACAAATGGCTTGCGTGGCCGTTGGCCGAGCAACCAGCGATCGTGCTGCAGCCGTTGGCGAACACGAGAATCCCGGTCGAGCCGCAGGAACACGCGCAGGCCATTGTGGTTTAGTAGCCGCCGTGATGGGATGCGAAACGTGAAGGCGTCAAGTGTCGATTGGCCAGGTACCGATCGAGGCTGAGGCTTATTGTTGCTCCAGGTTGAGAGAGGAAAGCGGTGAAGCCATCTTGATACGAGATGTACCTCTTTGCCTCTTGTATCACTTCAAAGTGACACAGATATACATAAGTCAGATGCAAGTATTGAGCCTACGCATCTTGCAACTTATTGTATGCAGGTATGCATGTATCAATCAAGCATCTTCAACAGCCGTCCATCTACGAGGCTCGCTTTTCTTTCTTCTTTTCGACTCGCCCTTCTTCAGCTGGGGCAGTCAATCCACTGCGGACGAAGCGGTCTGTCTTGCAGCCATTCCCCACAACCACGTCCAGGGATCTCGAATGGCGCACATGTTGCGACACGAGATGGAAGCACTGCGAGTTGATAGGGATCCCATCGTAGGTATGTAGCTTGGTGGAACTGGTTGATTTGCCTCGAACTCCATAAAAAAATGCTCCGTATGTTACGTGAAGCGTCCGTGATGTCGACTGTCATGTCGCAGATGAGGCAAGGCTCTTAAAAATACAGCATATTCTGACGCCATATAGACTTTGCGATATGCGACAAAGTATACAACCCTCCAACGGCGAAGAGTCTCTGGGTTAGTACCTAAATAGTAGGTAAGGTAGTCATCAATATGAAGCACCGGCATCCCCAGCAAGACAAAATGGCCGCTCATCACGGCGTGGCTTCAAATGGCGATGTGTTGTTGAAGACATCAACTCCAGGTTAGTCTTCGGTAGTGCTAGCAAGCGACCTGTCTGTTTATCAACATTGGCCATAAATTAAACACAACTGCGCGTTACCAGTCACAACTATCATCATACGGATCGCATGTATGCAATTAAACTACCTTACTAAGAAACTTGGTGTCAATGACCACCAATACACCCTTCAATTGCTCTTCTTCGTCGAGTGCCCAAGGTACCTACTAGCAGTAACATCCAGAAGTCCGACGCCATCACGTCCATCTGGAGGCCGTACCTGGGCACCTGCATCGTCAGGCACATGCCCGCTACACGCCCCAGAAACTGCCCCGCCATGCCTGTACCTGGTACTCCCGCCCCCTAGAGGGAGCTGAAGCACCGCTCTGACGCAATCAGCTACAGCACTAAAATGTGCACCCAGCAACCACAGCACCTGCACTGCACCGCTGCAGCAAGGCTGTAAACAGACCTGGACCCGAATCTGGAACAAGCGACACCACCGCCTCCCTCCATCTCCTGCTGCTGCCATCCAACCTCAACCTCTCCCTCGCCACACCCGTCATCTTGATATCTTTCCGCACAGCCTGCCAGCGCATCGCCAGACATCTTTGACCGCTGCGGCATCGGCCAAGCATCCAACATTCTACCAGCATTTCATCCTCGCCTCGTCAGCATATACCGAGCCCGACTCCAACTCCTGACCCGACTTCCCCCCCCATATATGTGATCTGTACGCCCTCTTCGCCTGCTCTGAACATGCCATTCATTGCCCCGCTAACCAGTTGGTATGGAACGCAGACCGTCGTATTGCCTCTTAGCTCGCCAAACATCACGACCAAAACCCCCCGACTCGCCTCGTCATGGCCCAGTTCCTGCAGACAGTGTCAGTCTCTCCTCATCCGCAGCCGCATACTCTCCCATCGTCGCCGCCGTCAACATGGCGCTTGCCCTGTTCCAATACCTCAGCCCCAGGTCTCGCGCCAAGATGGCGGGCCTCGACAAGAGCATTCTGCCCGTCTACGAAGACCCCCCGCTCAAACCCGTGTTGAATACCGCGATTGCTGACGGCGAGATCATTCTGAGCAGCAACCAGAAGACGAGGAACCAGTTCCGCCCGCGTGCGGGCAAGGGCGGCGTCAACAGCTATCAGCTTAGGCAGTATGCCGAAGTCACTCTGGGAGGAGGCAGCTTGCGCAAGGTCGTCAAGCTGCCCGAGGGCGAGGACGAGAACGAATGGTTGGCAGTCAATAGTGAGTTTGTCTGCGGGTGCTCTTGCTAGAATAACAGAAGGTCTAACAGCATGTTGCCAGTGGTGGACTTTTACAACCAGATCAATCTCCTCTACGGCGCCATCACCGAGTTTTGCTCGCCTCAGTCATGTCCGGAGATGAAGGCTACGGATGAGTAAGACGAGGACTCTCGCCCCGTTCTACATTCTTCACATGAGCTAATCTGACGATGCCCAGGTTCGAATATCTCTGGCAAGACAACGAGAATTACAAACGGCCGACCAAGATGGCCGCCCCGGCCTACATTGAACAACTCATGACATGGGTTCAAGCCAATATTGACAACGAATCCGTCATGCCCAGCAAGATTGGTAAGTAGCCCGCGTCGGTCCTTGACTCACTGCTCAATGTCTTGTGCTGACAACATCCACAGGCGTCCCCTTTCCGAAATCGTTCCCGGCCTTGATTCGGCAAATCTTCAAGCGCATGTATCGTGTATACGCACACATCTACTGTCATCACTATCCGGTGATTCGGGAGCTGGGACTGGAGCCGCATCTCAACACCAGTTTCAAACAGTATGTGCTGTTCATTGATGAACACAGCTTGGCGAGCGGGCGTGATTACTGGGGACCTCTCGGGGACCTCGTTGACAGCATGTTGAAGAGTGACTGATTGGGCGTTGCTTTCCTTCTTTCGCGTCGTTTTCATTTGTGTTTGTTCTTTGTACCGCAAGCGACAATTGCAGTAATGCTTAATAGGGAGCAAGGCAAGGCGTTGGGATATCGTAGAAATGGGAATTTCGGCACAGGATTGGCAGTGCTCAAGTATATCGGGCAGATTCGGGTAAAAGGGTACAGGGAAGGGCCAGCATCATGAGGCCAAAAGGGCAGTGCAAGGTCGGAGACGATGGTTCATGCATCATTGAGTCAAGTTTTATATAAACCGAGAAGAGAATAACGAGAAGAGCCTTATTGCGGATGAAGATGGTCAGTGAACAGAAGAATGGCTGAATGATGGATGAGTGGTGGTAGCCGGACTGTAGGAGGTATTATAGTGCCTTACATAAGCAAAAAAGTTGGTGCCTCACCCGTGCGGCAAGGCATCCACGGACCAAAATTGCCGGCCGCATCGCAGAACCTCCAACCCTCGAACACCGATCGCTCTCTCACCACCCCTCGACGCCGACCTCAAACCAGCCGCCATGCTGTCGCGACAAGTCTTCCGCTCCCTCCGGGCTGCTGCCCCCCAGCGTGCCGTCGCCCTCCGCGCCGCCCCGGTCCGGACCTTTGCTGCTGCCGCCTCCAGCGACGTCAAGCCGCCCATTGCCGTCTTTGGCCTCGACGGCACCTATGCCACTGCTCTGGTACGCCGACTTCCCGGGACGAATTGAAAACTCAGGCGGTTGTTGTTGTTGTTTGCTCTTTGAGTGTCCAAAGAGGCCCAATTGCACACTTTTTTTGCGAGCGCTGCGGCCATACACCATACACGAATCGAACACACAAAACACCGCGCCAATACTATAGAACACGGATGGGCTAACAAGATGCCTTTTTTTTTTTGCGTCAATTTTTAGTACACCGCGGCCTCCAAGACGTCCACCCTCGACGCCACCGCCAAAGAGCTCGCCAAGCTGGGCGGCCTCCTCGAGAAGGACCCCAAGCTGGCCAAGATCCTGGCCGCGCCGACGCTGACCCCCGCCGACAAGTCCGCCATCGTCGCCGAGCTCGTCAAGCAGGCCGGCTCCAGCGGCGCCACGCTCAAGAACTTCCTCGAGACGCTGGCCGAGAACAACCGCCTGGGCCTGCTCAAGGGCGTCGCCGACAAGTTCAGCCAGATCATCGCCGCTGCGAGGGGCGAGGTCGAGATGACTGTCACCAGTGCTCAGGTGCGTTTTTTCCATCTTTTGCTTTTGGAACAATTTCCCCCCCTTCTGGGGCGTATTTTCGATGTCGATGACGCTACTACGATGGCGATGATGTACCGAGAAACAATGCCCACGTTCTTGATGGCGCAGTTATTGACACGGAATTATTCTATCTAGCCTCTTGACCCCAAGACTCTGTCTCGTCTGGAGAACGCCGTTGCCAAGTCTTCCTACGTCGGCCAGGGCAAGAAGCTCAAGGTCACCAACTCGGTATGCACACACTCCCCATCTTCCGTATCTTCTTTAGAGCAACAGTCTAACATGCCAATGCCAGGTCAACCCCGAGATCGTCGGCGGACTCATCGTCGAGGTCGGCGACCGAACCATTGACCTCAGCGTCTCCTCCCGCATCGCCAAGATGAACAAGCTCCTCACTGACAACCTGTAAATTTACATCATGTATAAACAATGACCCAAGAATTATTTTAAACAAAACGAGAAGATTGAAACCAATGGCCCGATCCGAACCAGGTTCCTTTTTGTTCTCACCAAATAGGGGGGGGCTCCTTACCACCAAACATGTATAGAGAGAGTCCTTGAAGCTTGGAGAGTGGCTATTTGCTCATCAAGCTGGGGGAGGAGGAGAAAAAGAGGGGGTGAGCTGTTGCGCGATTAAGGCTGTTGAATTGGTGGCAGCGGCGTGTTGCGAAAATAGAAAGCAAAGTTCTTCATTTTTTAAACTCAACAGAGATGGAAGAATTGGCTTTTCTGTGTTACCATATTTTTCATGTTGATGATGCTTTCATTGTTGTTGTGAGATGACTGTGTGATGGGAAGCTGTACCTGTAAGATTGAAAGGGGCCTGTAATTGGAGAGATTGTCCCCCCTTCATCCGAACGAGCTCATTTCTTGCAACGATTGATTCGCATTCATGTACGCAACATACTATGAGGAATAGCCAAGAGAGTTCATATATAGCCAAAATGCATGTTGCTCAAGCATAAACCAGATTGCATTCCCTCATTCTCAACGGGAAATCCAATTGACATCTCTCACCTTGCCCCTACCAATTCTAAGATACCAAAAAAATCGCGGATTCAAAGCCCACACACCAATTTTATTTGTTCCAAAGAAGCCGTTTATCATCTTGTTAAAATCCCCCCTCCCCCGTCATAGACATGCGGCGAAAGAGAGATCAGGGCGCAGCAGCCAACTACCTTACGAAGCCCTAGTCTCAACTTCATCCCCTTCGTACGCGTCCTCTCCGTTTCCTTCCTTGAACCTCTCGAGCTGGTCGGCAATGTACCGGTGCATGTGGCTGTCCGCTTCTTCTTTCTCTCTGAGCCTCTCCGGGTCGTCAGGGTGGACAGAGTTGGTGACGGAGCGAGCATCGTCGTCTCCGTTGACCGATGAATCAAAGTCGCTCCTGGCAGCAATGGAACGAGCTGTCGAAGACCGCCTGATGTGGCGCCGGCCGCCTTGGTGAGGAACTCCCTTGTCGACGTGTCTCTGGAAGATGTCGTCAAAGTAGTGCGCCATACCAACGGACGGCGTCCGAGGCGTCTGCGGCAGACGGCAGTTGACACTGTTGCCCCTTCGAGTTAGCATACGGTAATACATAGAGGAGGGGGAGAGACAAAAAAAAAGTAGAACAAGCAAAGAAAAAGCTCACCCTGTATCATGAATGAGCCGCGCAATGAGGCCAGTCCATCCAGTCTGGTGACTGGCACCAAGACCCCGTCCAGTGTCGCCATCAAAGAACTCGTAGAACCAGAGGTAGTCCTTCCAGTGCTCATCATAGTCGAGGCGATCATCTCCAGCGTTGATGCTACGCCTGCCGTACTCGTCTCGGGCAAAGAGATGCTGCAACCGGTGCTGGATCTCCTCGGAAACTTTGCCCAGATGCATGTAGATGCCGCTCCCGGTGGGACATTCGACCTTGAATTCAGGTCCGTAGAAGAGGTAGAACCGCTGGAGCGATTCAATGAGCAAAAAGTTGACGCAAAGCCAGATTGGCCCTCTCCAGTTGCTGTTGCCGCCAAAAAGTCCAGTATCGGAGTCTCCTGGAACGTAGCCGACCTTGAATTCCTGACCCTTTACCTCCATGGAGTAGGGGTTCTCCTTGTGATATTTGGACAGCGAACGGATACCGTGATCACTGAAGAATTCATCCTCGTCCAGCATCCTCTTCAGGATCTTCTCCAACCTCTCCTTGCTGACGATTGACAAGAGAATACGGTTGCCTTTGCCCCTCTTCCTGATGCTGGCCATGTTCCTCTCGGCCAGGTCACAACGGTTCTGAACAAACCACTCCACTCTCTTTTTGAACGAGGGCAGCTTGTTGATAAGCTCCGGTTCGAGAGTCGCGGTTGCGTAAAGGGGGATGAGGCCGACCAGTGACCGCACAGGAAGCTGCTGGAGCCACGGGCCTCCCCAGGAGATGGCATCATAGTAGAAGCCGTCATCCTCGTTCCAAAGAGACTGTTCATCCTTCTGACCCGCCCGGAAGGTCATGGCATCGCTAATGAAGATGAAATGCTCAAAGAACTTGGAGGCAATATCCTCGTAGATGCGGCGATGCTTGGCCAGCTCAAGAGCAATGTTTAGCATGCACAGACAGTAGAAAGCCATCCAGCCGGTGCTGTCGGCCTGCTCAAGGACGCCTCCCGTGGGCAGCGGCTCAGAGCGGTTGAACAGGCCAATGTTATCGAGTCCCAGGAAGCCACCTTCAAAAACGTTCTTGCCCTCGGCGTCTTTGCGATTCACCCACCAAGTGAAGTTGAGCAGAAGCTTTTGGAACACTCGCTCAAGGAAATCAAGATCCTGACGCCCGTACAGCTTCCTTTCAATCTTGAAGGTTCTGAATGTGGCCCATGCATGGACGGGAGGGTTGACATCACCAAAGTTCCATTCATATCTGTGAGTATCGTTAGCACTGCCAGCCATCATCATGATATCAAACGTAAGGGGTGGAGGAAGATGACTTACGCAGGCAGTTGACCGTTGGGGTGGCAGTACCACTCCCTGGTGAACAGGTCAAGCTGCTTCTTGGCAAAGTCAGGGTCAATCATGGCCAGGGGAATGCAGTGGAAGGCGCTGTCCCAGGCCGCAAAGAACGGGTACTCCCAAGAGTCGGGCATAGACAGGATGTCATCGCAATACATATGCTTCCACTGTGAGTTGCGAATCCCCATCCGTTCTGGGGGCGGAGGAGGGTGGCCGGGATCTCCCTTTGCCCAGTGGTCCCAGACGAAGTAGTAGTGCTGCTTTGTCCACATCATGCCGGAGAAGGCCTGCCGCTGGATGTTGCGCAAATCGTCAGCCAGAGGAAGAGGGCTGATTCTGTAATAGAACTCATCCGCCTCTTCTTTGCGCTTGTCGATAATGTCATCGAATTCTTCCTCATCTAAATACGACTCGTCTCTTCTGGTAAATCGGAAACGAACAACTGCGATTCTTTGTCAGCTTGAAGCAAGCATGGTATGCCCAAGAAGAGGGGGATCACCTACCGGCACATTCACCGGGGTTGACACCGCCGTCTTCGTTGAAATTGTACCAGGCTGCGCATTTGGTGCCCTTCTGGGCAGGATTGATGGCGCCCTTTTCTCCGCCAACGATGTACCTGTGGAAGGCATCCTTGACGTAGGGTTGTTCGTTCGGCTGTTCATAAAGAAGCTCCTTGTTGGTCTCATTTTCGGTGAACATGAGTTGGGGGAGGACATCCTGTCCCGACGTGCCAACACCGGGAGAGGGAGAGAGAAGGAAGTATCTGTCTCCAAGCTTCCAGTGCGTGGATTTAGCCGAGTCTTCAGTATGGGCCGCAATAGAAGGCTTCTTGTCTTCCGGCTCTCGGCCCCAACTCCAGGTGTTTCGAAACCATACATGGGGAATGATGTGGAGGGGGGCCGGGTCGGGGCCCCGGTTCCAGGCAGTCACACGAAAGAGAAGCTCATCTGGATCGTCAGCCTCCTTGGCGGTTTCAATGAAGATGTCCCAGTATCGATCCTCGTCAAACACCCCAGTGTCGAGGAGCTGGTACTCCTTGTCTTGTCTGGTTCTTCGTGCATTCTCCTTCAGGAGGTCCTCGTAGGGGAAAGCCTTCTGGGGATACTTGTAGAGGAATTTCATGTAGGAGTGCTGGATCCAGTCAATATCAGAGGGGCCACTTGCAAGAGGGAGAGTGGGGGCGTCGGCGGTGACATATCAAGACGTACAGTCTGGTCGGGTGAGTTAGCACGTTTCATAGCAAGAGGAGGAGGACGATATTGGCTTACAGGAGTGTTATCAACATGGAAATGGGCCTCCTTGACGCTTTCGCCGTGGTTTCCTTGCGGGTTGGACAGACCAAAGAGACGCTCCTTCAAAAAGGGACTGGCTTATAGATCAGGACCATGTTCTGCCTCGAAAGACCAGGCTTCGGAGTTGGGAATGGCATACTCTTCCTCGTTCCAGAAGGCAAAGGCAATGTTCTGGAATCCATGTGTATCCGAGACACCGGCGATGCCGTCTTCACCCCACCTGAAAGCTCGGGATCGTGCATGGTCGTGTGTAAAGTCTATGGACGCAGGAGATTAGTCTCAGCTCTGAAGTGGCAAGGAAAAGAATGGGATGCAGGAATACGTACGGCTCCAGGCATCTCCGTCGGCACTGTAGTCCTCTCGTACTGTTACAGACAGGCAATTAGCACTCGTATCTCCTTGTCTTGCGTCCGTCTGGGAGCCAATGTACCTGTTGCCCACTGCCTCTCGGCAACATAAGGCCCCCATTTCTTCCAGTACTTGGTTCGCTCCCGGTCCTCCTTCAATCGCCTCTCCTCCTCGGTGAGGTACTCGTGGCCATCGTGAACGACCATTGTGCCGTGTGTTCTGGGATCGAGACCGTTTATGCCGGTGTTCCTGCGGGGGTCAGGAGAAGACAGGCAGGGAGGGGATCAAGGAGAGAGGAACTGGGAAAAGAAGGAGAAGGAGAAAAGGGAGCTGGAGCTCGGATTCTTGTAAGCAAGCGTCGTGCTTCAATTCCAAGCAGCAGCCTATCAGCACCTGAGCTATTTCGTCTGTCCGGGAGCTTGATTTGACCTGGGCCGGGTTCAATGGCTTGACGAGGCGCGAGTCCAACGTGGGGCTGGCGGGATGATGGAGGGGCAAACTGGAGGTGAGGGATGCTGGGATACTGTACTGGGTAGCCCGCGCTACAGTATAGCGGGCAGCTTACAGTGGTTGCACCACCTATCGGGCCTCCTTCTGGGCGGTTCACGGGCTGCAGCGTGTTGGTGCCTAACAACCTGAACTGACGTGATGACGATTCGGGGCTACGTGGAACCGGAAAAGAGTGGGAATGTCCAGCATGGTGTAGTCGTAGTGCACCATAAACCGGATACCTATGGGCTGGACGCTGGCCGATGGAGTTGGATGCAGCGGCAGCACCTCGATTCCATCCGTATAAAACGGGAGAATTCGAGTTGAGTCTCTTGTTCCCACATGGCGGCCATTCATTTGAGACCAAACAAGGCTGCGCGGTCACGGCTACCGCCACGGTACCTGCAAGCGCTGGGACAGACGCCTCAAACGGTGCGAGTCTTGCTGTCACGCACCGGTAACCATGACGTCGCTTCTCAAGCCCTCCCGGAGGAAACGCAGGGGCCAATGGCGGAGCTCCGACTGGAAGCAGGTTGTTGATAAGCAAGCTTTTCTCGCAGCAGCGCTGCATGGCAGTTTTTGCCCAACTGTCTGTCTGTCTGCTTGTCTGTTTTGCATTGCATGAGGGCTCTAGCCGGATCCCATTGCAGTTGAATGCGAGAATTAAAGGCAGGCAGGCAGGCAGTGAGATTCGTGAGGAGAAGAAGCATGGACTTGGACCGCGGTATCTTGCCGTGACGTCAGAAGCCGTGTTACTGGCTCAGGGGAAAACATTGGAGCCGGCCTAACAAAGCAGCAGCAAACATGAGCCAGGCCCTATTACCTTAGCCTTGCCTGGAACAAACAGGCCGGATAACGAACAGCCTTGTGATTGATAGCCCATGACTGAAGCACTAACACTGGACCAGTCAATGGACGAACGCCCGCAGAGAGGCAGTAATAATCAGGCATCGCCGTTATCGTCAAGAAGACGTTGGCCGGAATGTTCAAGACGCAAGTCAGGCACTGCCGTCAGCCACCGAGGCTGAAGCCAGGAGGGATGAGGTAGGGGTGTAAGGGTGAGGTAGGGGTAAGGTATGTATGTACATGTAGGGTTGTAGGGCTCTGTCGGGTACTGTCGCTTGCAGCAAGAAGAATTGGTGACGGCCAGGGTCAGAGCTGAGAAGACAAGGCCCCAGGTAGCTGTATGTACACTATCTAATGCTAAGAACTGGAAGGATGAATCGACAAGTGAACTGAGAGAGCGAATAGCATATGATAGTGGACTCCAGGTCATCTTGTCAAATAGAGTGAGCTCGTATTATCCCATTGCCTCTGCCACCCGCAGGGGTCGCATCAATTGCTCTCGATTGGCCCCTGTCCCAGATCTCCGAGCCACCAAAGAGCCTCCAGGGCCGGCACGGCGCTAATAAGGCCGCTGAACCTGAACCAACAAATCTGGCCAGTTCAGGTTGAGCCTCCCGCTGGACCTCACTCGAACCGAGCTGCAGAGCTTCGCCACAACCATTTTCGCGGCCTTGTTGACGAAATCTGTCAGTATCGGGCGTCATTTGCCTCCAGATCCTCCGACCTGCGTCTGTCACTGCTGTCCAGCCATCATGTTTCACTGAATTGAAGCTCTCGTTTACCGTGAATTTCCCCTCCGTCTTCTACAACTACACCCAGTAGCCTTTCCTTTTCTGTCCTACCTCATTTTAATCCTCCTAATTAAAAGAGACGAAGACGAAGAAAAAGAAGTGACCCATTCCGCGCCCTCGGCTCCCTCTCCATAGAGCACCGTCCACCTTTCTTTGCAACTCCCTTTCTTTGTTCCCTCTCTGCCTTCAGTCTCCCTCTCAACATGACCGACAGGGTGTCACTCCTGCGCAGACTGATACTCGAGTCACCACCGGGGGAATGGGCTATCAACCAGCTCCGCGAGCTGCTCATTGGCGCCCTCAAGCAGGGGCCGATCCCTCAACATGTGGCCTTCGAGATGGACGGCAACAGACGCTACGCCAGAAGTCGCCGCATGGAGACTGTCGAAGGGCACCACCGTGGCTTTGAAGCCCTTGCCAGGGTTTGTTGCCCATACCTCCAGCGCTGTCCTTACTTGGAGCCTCTTGGCGACTAACACGGCCGCTCTAGATCATGGAAGTCTGCTACAAGTGCGGCGTCAAGGTGGTGACTGTCTACGCCTTTAGCATCGAAAACTTCAACAGGCCAAAGTACGAGGTGGAGGGACTCATGCAGCTCGCAAAGGTCAAGCTGGAGCAGCTGACCACCTACGGCGACATTCTCGACCGCTACGGGGCTTGTGTCCGGATCCTCGGCCAGCGTGAGTTGATACGCGATGATGTCCTGGAAGTCATGGACAAGGCCGTGGCGAGGACGAAGCATAACAACAAGTACGCATCGCCCCCTTAAATCAAGGGCCTACAACTGGCCTACAATATCTTGGAGACAAACATGGCTGACCAATTCTGTCCAGGGCTGTCCTCAACATCTGCTTCCCCTACACCTCGAGGGCCGAGATGACGACTGCCATTCGATCGACCGTGCAGGAGTTCCTCTCCCCAACTCCGCCCAAGAACACGCCCTTCTCGCCATCGCGCATCAGGCAAAAGATCCTGTCCAGCCAGCTCGACGGCCGTGAGCCGCTGCCGACAATCCCCGATGAAGCGCTCGACGACGGCGAGTATGACGACAAGGACCCATATGGAGACGAGGACGTTTCCTCTTCTGCTACTCTGCCTCCGGGCTCCCCTGAGCCTCACTTGATGAGGTCGGGATCGTACGGCTCCACGACGCTGCCCAATCCCGACAACATCACCGTCGATACCATCGAGAGACACATATACACTGCCGATGACCCCCCGCTCGACATCTTCGTCCGGACAAGCGGCGTCGAACGACTGAGCGACTTTATGCTCTGGCAATGCCACCAGGACACGCACATCTTCTTCCGCGAGTGCCTCTGGCCAGATTTCGGCCTAAAGGACTTTATATGGGTTCTCCTGGAGTGGCAATGGAGGCAGAAGCAGTCGGACAGGGAGAATCCCGCGAGCAGGTCGAGGAGCAGCAAGGCGCGAAGCATGATGGAGTGATTATGGCGACGATACCCCGTTTCGTTCTATAGAGAGGCATGGCATATTCACACGATATACACTTGTTAGTATCACGCGGCGCTCTTTTTTGGTTCTGAAGGCCTCCCTTTCGATTGTCGCCATGCATTGCCGCCTTAGACTGTAATTTGCATCTTATATCTCTACTCATCGATGCAGCGAGAATTGTAGGCAAGCTCGCACTGAAGAGGCCGTCTACGGCATTCCCACTGCAGCCACTGACACAAGCCCGGCTTCACAATGCACGCCATGTCTCTGCAGCTCGACTGACGCCATAACCGGCCTCTGTGTGGGACTTTTTCTGCCATCTCGGCGCCCAGTTTATCCGACCAGCCAATGGCAGCTCCTCTCTCGGTCCAATGCGCGCTGTGTCATGCGCCGCTAGCTGTCCAGGAACGGCAGACCCGGCGGTACGTACCGCCGTATCTCGCGGCAGGCGGCTGCCACTGCAGTTGTGCTCCTCTCCCCAAACTCAGCACCAGATAAGTCGACGATTTTCTGCTGCTTGATCCCAGCATCACCGACCCTTTGCAACGCCTCACCCGCATGATTTGGCTCTCCAACCGCAGATCCAGAGCAGGATGGCCTAGCCGGTCTCCGATACGAGGCGTCTTTCTACTGTTCGTTCCTGTTTAGCACCGTCCGCCGCCCTCTAGAGAAGGGTAGAGAAAAGTTCGCCAGCGTCCGTCGCCCCTCTACACACAGAATCTCTCCCACATCCATCAGCCGTGCCGTTCCCCCCCCTTCGCCGTGCCAGCAATGAAGTCGGCCAAGGCGCCCGCCGTGGAGGCGCCGTCGCACCGGCGGTCGCAGCCTGTCCGCCAGACGCGCACGAATCCTCCTCGCAGCTCGGCGACGGCTGCCCGCTCCGGGCCCAGAGACTCGCTGGGCGGCCCAGCTGGCGACCAGCCCATTGACATCTTCCCTGCCATCACCCACTTTGCCGACACCATTACCGCCCTGCCCAAAGAGCTCGTCCGCCACTTCACGCTGCTCAAAGAGGTCGACGCCAAGATATTCGCTCCCCAGGAGCAGCTGTTCAAGCTCGTCGCCTCCGCGAGGGCGATCGCCATTCCCGAGGCGCGGACGGGCAATGACGCTTCGAGCACGGCGCCGCCGCAATCCGCGCCCATGAGCGCCCAGACGAGCTCCAACGGGGCTGCCCTCAACCAGCAGAGCCAGGCCGTGGCGTCGACGACCGACGAGGCCAGCGGCGGCGTGTTCGATCCCTCCAACCTCCACCGCCGCCAGCTGTTCCGCCAGACCGCGATCAAGATACAGGAGATGCTCGTGTCGCTGGAAGAGAAGAACCACGTCATCTCCACAGCGAACGAGGCGCTGCAGAGGCAGCTGGCCCGGGTCGAGGACGTGTGGCCCTACCTGGAGAGCGAGTTCAGCGACGAGGCCAAATGGGGGAGCACCACCCACTGGGCCTACCCCGAGAACCGCAACAGCAAGGCGGCGCAGGCGGCCGAGCGATCCAGACGCGATGGCGCGGCGGCCATTTCGGCAGCCGCACAAGCTCTGGCGGAACAGGCGGCCGCCCGGAGCGATGCCAGGAAGCAAGCCGTGCAGGCCAAGCGGAGCCAAAAGACGCATGCGCTCGATTCCGAAGCCGATGACCACGACGGTCGGAACAAGGACGGCACGAACAAGAAATCCAGCTCGAGCAAAGTTCGAAAGACGGCTGAGGGTAACAATGTTGGTTTAGGCATCACCACCGGAGCCTCCTCCAACGGCAACCCGCCACAGAAAAGGCGCAAGGTAGACAAGGAAAAGGACAAGGACAAGGAGAAAGAAAAGGACAAAGAGAAGGACAAGGACAAGGACAAGGAGAAAGCCGCTGCCAGTGGGGGAGAGGCGCCCCCCATGGAGCGTGCCATGAGCCTCGTCTTCGGTAACAATGCGTCCAAAGCGAAGCCTACCGGTAGCCCTCGTGAAACACCGGCCCCAGAGGTGCCGAAGAAACGCAAGGCTCTGCCCACAAGCAGCGGCCAATCCAAGAAGAAGTATGTCCCTGTCTTGTTTCTCTTCCCTAATACATCCCTCTTTCGACCTACCCAAACTACTATGAGGAAGATGCTGACCCCCTTGTGCTTTTCTGCAGGAATGCCCTATCGGCCACCATGTCTCCTTCAGCTGCGTCCTCTCCCGTTTTGGGAACCCTTCCAGAGACCAAGGCACCACCGAGCCGCCCGTCGCCCGCACCGGCAGCGGCACCCACGCCCGCCCCCCGACCGACGACGTCTCGCGCACGACAGAATTCTATACAGTCAAACTCAGAAGCCAGCAAGGCCAGGCCATCCTCGTCAGCAGCCAAAAAGGCGAATGGGAACATGGCCAGCACGCCCGAGATTTCCTCGGCTGCAAGCTGGCCACGCCCCAATCACGACTCCGAGTCTAACAAGGAAACCCCCGTGACGGTCAAGACTGAGCCTTTGCCGAAGGAGGCGGAACGAGTAGACGATAAGCCCACGGCGACTCCAGTTGCTACGGCCACTACCACTACCACCTCGTCCAGTCGCAGGAACAGCAGGGTAGAGGACGCCGATCGCAAGAGTGAGCCGGCCCAGCCTACGCCGCAGACGGGTACGGTCACGACCAAGAGCGGAAGAGCAAGCAAACCATCCACGCCGGCTCTGCCCAGCTTCCAGGACGCGGCTGCTGCCAGGCCTCGGACGACGCGCAATGCAGAGCCGATGGGCAATGGCAAGAAGACGCAGCAAAAGAAGGGCGCCGCGGGGACACAAGCTGTGGCCCAGCTCGCGGATGAAGATGGAAACAGCAGCATGCAGGGCGACGACGGCGACGACGACGCAGACGTTGATCCGGACGAAGCTACATACTGCTACTGCAACAGCATCAGCTACGGCGCCATGGTGGCGTGCGATTCTGATGACTGTGCTCGCGAGTGGTTCCATTTGGCTTGCGTAGGCCTCAAGGTTCCGCCAAGTTCAAAGAGTAAGTTTGTCTCATTCTTCTTCTTTCCCATCAAGTAAAGAACAGACGATGCTAACGACGCCTGATAGCCAAGTGGTACTGCCCCGACTGCAAAGAGCGCCTCAAGGTGGGCAGCAAAAAGAACGGTAGCCGATAGTCGACAGCTGTATCGTTACGGAAGCAGACGCTGGTCAAGCTTGCGGAAGACAAACGCCGGTTTAGTTCTCGAGGCTAGCTTTTCGGCAGGCTGCAAGATGCTGTCTGAGCTCCTCTTTCGATTTTTGATTTCTTCTGTCTTCGGTCTGGGTAGTTGACCGGCGTTTGTTCCAACTTGCTTCATGTTGTTCTCCTACTTCCACCTTCCTTTTTTTTTTTTTCAGTCTTTTTTTCTGTCCTTTGACTCTCCTGTTTTTATAGGAGACTGGCATGCACGATCATGCTCAGCTTCACACGGACCACGGGGCGTTCTTTTGCTTGTTCACATAGGATTCGGCCACACATAATATCAAGCTTTTGTTACGGATTGTATTCACGCCAGCTTCGGATCTATGCAGTTCTTTCTTTCTTTCTCTCTCTCTTGTCTTTTGGTGTATGAGATGACTTTTCGATGGAGGCACGAGGTCTGACAAAGGGAGCGAGATGCATTACCTCATGGCAGGGGCCTGTTGGAAGCATATATGCATATGTCGTTATTGGCGTCGCAATCACGGAATAGGGAGGCACGCTTTGTGGGATCTACGTGGGAAACGGGAGGGGGGGCAGGGCACTGGGCAGAAAGCGATGAGAGCAAATGTGTGATTACGCTGTCGAAGTATGAAGCGGCAGCAGCAGCAACAGCATTGTCTGATAGATGAGATATTTGGCCCAGGGGGATGTCCGTCCCTGCCCAGGGTGGCGGAGGAATATGCGAGCGGTCGGTTTTGGGGTTCTGTTGCCCTTTTACTTGTTGGCTTTTTTTTCCCTTTCTTTTGCCCTCTATCAACTTCCTGCCGGTTGAAGCTGGGCGAAGAAGAAGCAACGGATGATTTGGGATTTTCATTAGGTAACGCGGATGCAGGTTAGGTAGCTTTCGGCAGGATAGCTCAAAGGCAGCTCTGCATGACACGATTCGACCTTTGCTCTCGGGCTTGAGTAGTGACTGGTGGTATCAGTAGAGAGTAAGAGAGAAAGGTTAGGTGGGATACTAATAGAAAGGTGTGGCCCTCAATGGATGGACGTTGTGCTTCTGATGAAGGCGACGTGGAGAGCGGAAAGAAATGGGCGTGCTAGTTGTGAAGGGAAGGGAAATCTGTATTACGTGTCTGGTTTGTTTCGTGGATGGAGTGATTTGATGTGTCCGGGGGGGGGATGTATGAGTATGGGGAATATGGAGTCGATGGAGGTTTCTATGGAGTATGTTTGTATCGTATGTATGATGAGGATGTTGGGAGGTTGAATCCGCGGGGGAACAAATTTGAATATGGAGTTGCAGCATCTCGTATATGTACTACCTACTAGATATACCCCATATGCCAAGGTAGTAGGACGAGTCGTTTGTGTTTCATTACCAAACGAGGCTATAGACTCCCGAGTAATCTGTTACGGAATAGAAGCCGTATGGTGGGTAGCACAGGGGAGTAATACGGTCGACTCTCTTTCCCTCACTTTCTCCTAATACCACGAGTAACAGGAACACGACACATGCCCTCATTAGACACAAAAACACAACCAAAGTGCTGCCAATATACACGGCAATTACGGCACGGCATCATACAGACGACGGAAAAGTCCCATGGGACTGGTTCCTGCGAGGGCGAGGGCGAGGACGGGGAGGGGGCCTGCGGATGTTTTTCTGGAGTCGAGCTGGATCTTTCTCACCAGGGGGCAAAGTTGGCTACTCAGGCGATATGCGCTTCCGCCCCAACATTCTGTGGTGGTTTTCACTTCCGTAACTGAATATCCAGGTCTCCCATCGTCCACGGGGGGCCAAAAAGCAGACTGATGCTGTGCTGTTCACACGCACCCCCTAGCAATTTCTCACCTTTCCATTCTCTTGACTGCTTCCCTGCACCTGTCACCGCTGTAGCAACTCACACAGAAACCCCCCCAAAAGAAAGCAAACATCACGAGCCATAGATTAGAGTGTGTAGAGAGAGGTAAGCTGACCTGTAGACAAGTACTACTAAGGTATCAATGGGCCTCGCTTCAACTCGTACTGCAAACTAAGGGAGGTCCTTTTGGCATTGGATTTCCACTTCTTGTCTTGGAACCTCGTCTGTTAGCGCTCCGCGTGATGCCTTTTGGTTCATCCGATCATTTACATAACGAAAATCCGGGGAAGCAGAATTCTAGGCCCTTCTTTTTTTAGCCTGCCTCGGACTAGTTTGGCAGCAAAGAAAACCCCTTGCTGGTTGCGACTCCTTTTATGTTTCTTTTTTTGCAAAGGGGTGGGAAGAAGAAAGAGCCGCATGGACGGATCCAAGCTAGCGGCAGTATAGTATAGCCCGTTCTTTTAGAGAGGAGATACTAAGAGAAAGAAGTGGTGAGAAGAGAAGAGACAAGGTCTAACAAAGTTGTTTGGAGCTCGGGGGCGGGGTGTGAGAGGGGCACGAGGAGTTGTGGCTGGTGCGCCGTTGGAGATGTGGCTGGATGAAAGCCAAAACCTGGCTTATCGATAAGTGACTAGTGGCGGAAAAAAAAATTATGGCAGAGATTTTGCTGGCGGGAGGCGGAACCAAACCTCCCCAAGACTGATAGATTGATACCCAGCTTTTTTTGTTTTTGACATACACACAATCCACATCAGACAGCCACGATGCGGTATGTTTTATATGGATGGCGAATTGGACTCGAGGAATTTGCCCTTTTCTGACCTGGACAATATAGGATTGAGGACTGCAGCTTCTGTGGCCGGCCGGCCTACCCTTCCAAGGGCATCACCTTTGTCAGAAACGATGGTGAGTGGACGATGTTCCCCCATCACGAACTCACTTACCTTGCTCCGAAACCAATCAAGGAGGCATCGACGGCTAATAATGTTACCTCGCTCTCTAGGCAAAGCATTCCGATTCTGCCGATCAAAATGCAACCGCAACTACAAGATGAAGCGCAACCCGCGCAAGCTCAAGTGGACAAAGGCCTACCGCCGCAACGCGGGCAAGGAGATGACGGTGGACAGCACGCTGCAGTTCGCGGCGCGGCGCAACGAGCCCGTGCGCTACGACCGCGACCTGGCGGCCAAGACGCTGGCGGCCATCAAGCGCGTCAGCGAGATCCGCGCCCGCCGCGAGCGCGTCTTCTACAAGAAGCGCATGGCCGGCAAGCGCGAGCGCGAGCTGGCCGCCGCGCGCAAGCTCGTCGCCGAAAACGAGCACCTGCTGCCGCGGCTGCGGGGCAGCGAGAAGAAGAGGCTGGCGGAGCTGGCGGCGGAGCGCGGCGGGGACGAGGTCGTTGTCGAGGAGGAGGCGGAGATGCTGCTCGCGACGAGGAAGAATGCCGTCAAGGCTTTTGGCGGGGAGCAGAGGAGGGTCAAGGTCCGGGTGGATGGCGGCGTGGAGGAGGAGGTTGTGCGTACGGTTCGGGAAGAGGTGGACGAGGAGGAGGACGACGACGAAGACGAGGACGACGAGGATGTCGACATGGAGGACTGAGCGGGAGCAGCAGCAGCAACGTGGCCGGGCTCATCATGGCTTGGGTCATGACGACGACGACGGCGACGACGACGACGGGTCTGGCCGCCGTTGGGCCGGCCTGGAGAGACTGCTACAAGCACTACATTGCTGGAGTCTGGTGGGTGATTGGTCATACAGGAAGCAGCACTACCTTTGCCTACTACTCATGGGTCCAGCGACTCGTCAGCGTTGGGTTTGGTTCGTTTCGGCGTTTACAGGATTTATACATAGTAATTGAAAATAAAAAGTTCCTGGGTCACCATTTGGGTTGCAGTGCCTTTTTTTTCTTCTTTTGCTACCTACTATTAGTCGTACACTCTCTCGATCTGGGTTGTTCCCTTGCAGGTGGCGCCAGGGGGCAATGGTATGATGTGATTTTGTGTGGGCGTAAGTGAAAGAATGAATGTACGAGGACGAATGTACCGGTACAAAGCATGTAAAGTCAGTAGTAGGTACGAAACGCAGAGAGTTGGGAAAAAAGGAGCCTCCTCCAGTTGCAGCATCGTGAAAAGAGACGGCCGATGGGCGTGACAGTCTCGGCCATGGGGACACCAGCGAGCGTCTCATCCGCATCGTCGATCCGGGGGCGTCTTGAAGATGGAAAAAAAAAAGCAACGAAGAACTGCCGCATGCCAGTGGGATGAAGCAAGGGATGAGCTCTGCTGTGTAAGGAGGGAAGTTGCAAAAGGTGATGAGAGGCTGTTTCGGTCTGTAAGAGGCTGCTCTGTAGGTAGACGTGATAAGGGACGGGCAGAAGCAGGGCGAGATGCATCGGATCGGAACATGTGTTGGGCAGTGCTTGGTCCGCCCATGTCGCCAGACCAGGCAGTGGTTGTGCGAACTTTTGTTTCGCCTGCTGAGTGAATTGGTACTTCATTTGGTGTGACCGTGTTCGGCATCAGTTCCGTGGACTTGCATCTCCGAGGATGAAGCAGTATCAAAGGCTGGTCAGTTGGTAGGGCAGTGGGAAGGATGCCAGACAACCCCCCCCAGAATAGGAGCAGTTACCATTTTTGGCAATGCAGCGGCCAAAGGGAGATGGAATAGAGACAAAAATCAAGGTTAAATTCTAGCACGGCATTTGGAGGCTGCTGAGTGGCCGTGTTTTAACCATGTATCTGATAAGGGAGACGGAAAAATACATAGGTCGCGGGTGTGGTTTGGGATCTGATAAAGAGATTTGATTGAGCCGTGGGTTGTGTAGATGGATGGGGGTGGTTTCGCTGCAGGCGATCTGGATGACGTCTGTAAGTCGACGCCACGTCTCGGTTGCTGTCTGTCTCTGCCTTATATTCGCATTCCTGTCCAGTTTGGAAATGAGACTGGTCACTTCACCGTTGGCCTCAATGACGAACGGTCTTGTGCTGCAGCAGCAATTGCCCCAATGACTCCATTCAATCGGTACTCCCTTCAGGCATTTTGATTACATACTGGGAGCGAGGTCAGCGTCCGACTTCGCAGCGTTCGAGCGGGCGAGGGGCGTGTGATTAGCAGCAGAGATGGCACTAAGGCACGGAGTACGGGGTACAGACGGATTCCATGCCATGCCAGAAGGGACAAAAAAAAAAAAAAAAGGGAAGAATCCATCATCTGGATCTGGGCCCATCGGCGCCGGCTGGCCTCGGTTCACAGCCTCGAGCAGGTCATGCAGCGTGCTAGGGAGCACAGCAGCAACCCCGTGTCCTCGCAGCTTCGCTCGTCTGTCGGCACTGCGGCTGCTGCGTTGGCCGGGGCCTGCGATTGGCGTTGCCAGCAGTCATCAGTGTTCCACCCACGTTGACTGCTTCACGTACGTACAAGCACGATTACATGTAATACGGGGAAGGGATCCTGCAATGCTGATGCTGATGCCGCCGGTGCTGTTAACGCCGGCAGCGGCACGATGCCGTCCGTATCCGATGGCCGAGTCTGGTGCTGGTGCTGGTGCTGGTGCTGGTGCTGGTGCTGCTAACACCGAGTATCATCACGACACGGAGACAACGGCGTGCAATAAGCTGTTAGGCAATGGTCAGAGGAATGTGTCTGCGCCTGGACGGTAGGGAGACCCAGCACCGGAATTTCGTACACCAGAACCGCAGCACTTCGGACTCGTGACCAGCTCGATGACGGAGCGAGCGAGGCCGGAGGGCTCCGTGTAACGAGACGAACAGGAGCAGATGCTGAGAGGAGAACACTAACAGGAATACACCAGAAGAGCGAGGCATCCGAGACTAAGGCACGGAGGACGGCGATGAAGAATTGCCTCGACAACTGCCTCCAACATGACTCCTTTGTTCACCTCTTTCTCTCACTTCTGGTCCCTTGGTTACGGCGGCGTGCCCGATCCGATGCCATTGACCAATCCCAGGCGCGAATCGGACCCCCAGCACGGGGAAGCTTGTCTCGCCGCTGGCTTGTCGCATCGATGCATCGTCAGATGAGCACACCAGGACAGGACAGGACAGGACAAGACAGGGCAAAATATGTAACCCTTCGCCAGCTCCGCGTACTCTGTCCCGGTGCTCCGTACCTGTACCTGAGAGAGCGATCCGTCAATCCCCATTCAAGGGGTGGCGTGTCAACCAGGAGCCCGGCTGCTGCGCATCTTTTGGCATCGTACAGGACGGAGCACCAGCTCTTTCCCGGCAGTGTGGGCAAGCGAGATGGCTGGATGGAAGGGGCTTGGCCGCACCAACGAGATGGATCACGAGGACAAGTTTTTTCTCTCAAGGTTAACGTTGAGTCTCTGGAGTGACCAGGGGACCAAGAGGCAGAAGCAACCTTGAGGGCGAGTGATTATGTAAAAATAACTGAACGAAGCTAACGGAGAGAGAAGCTTTGGCAGATGCTGAGTTTCCATTACGGCACTCGAACCAGCGCAGCGTCACACCAACCGCACCTCCCGAGCCCGGAGCGATTCTTATTACTACTACTAGCTCGACTTTGTATTTGTCTTGTTTTTTATGGGACATGACGTGGGGAGTGCTCACTGCGAGTGCTGCGAGTTGGCAGAGGTTGAAGCCACAGCCAGCGGGAGGAATTGAGTGCTGATGAGTTGCCCGGCATGGAACAGGAACTGTGAGAGCATTTCATCAACAGATGACATGAATGCTGACGGCTTTGATGTTGCTCATTGTTCGTATGGATAAGTACATGACACTGTGACGCTGATTTATTATACTGCTTCACAGCTTCATCAACAGATGCTTCCTCATTCTTGCGTCTCCCTTGCCCAAGATTGCATCAGTCCATCAACCCACCCCCTCGCCTCACCTCGAGGAACCGACTCGTCAATTTCATTTCATTTCATTTTGCCTTCAATCTGCACCAACTTCCCCAAGCCAAAAAAAGCGGCACTTGCTCCCAGCGTCCTGCTCACCTGACGGCCGCCAGCATCCAGTCACCGGTTTTCATTACACAATCCAGACGTGCTGTGAGCTAATGGCGAGCGCCGCGTGCCAGCACGTTCCCGCCCTGGAGCGCCAGTCGACAGTGCAGCCCTGGAGCTACCCCCCCTGCCAGGCGGCTCCAGCTCTGACCTTACAGTGCTTGAGAAGTGCCTGAGCGGCAGCCCTCCAGACGGGCCCCTCGTCACAAACGGCCAGCCACTGTCGTCCAGGCGGGATCAGTGGCGCAAGAGCAGCATCTCCGGCCGCCGCGATGCCGCAAATCCTGGGGTGCCTTTGCGTAAGAGCTCGGGTGGGAATAAGGACGGACGGGTCACTCCGCAGGTGCTTTTGCATTCGATTTGCATGACATTTACTGTGGGTGAGAAAGTACGGGTACCGCAAGGAGCAGCGCCGCTGGGGCTCTTGCAGGTGCATTGGCCGCGGGGCAGAAGCTGTCAAGTTCAAGTTCTGCCAACAAACGGGCAAAAGTACAGGTACGAGAAGAGGGCACAACTGAACTTCCAAGTTACCAATACCTTAAGCTCGAAGCATCAACAATTCCAGTCTGGGGACACAGGCGCAACTCCAGCTCGTCAAGCACAGAAATGGGGTGCCTGATTGGGCTTTGCAGCTGCCGTCGTCTAGGCACCTCAGCACGATCTTCCCATTCTCCTACTCGCACACCCTCCGCTTTCCCCCCTTCGGCCCCTGAGCGCCAGAAGCAACAAGGACGCGACCGGGAGAAATTTAGACCCAAAAGGGTTCCGAGAGCTGCGAAGCCTTCTTTGCTAGGCCCACACCCCCCCTGTCCGACTCGGACGACATTCGACTTACACATAAAAATCCCCCAGAACCACCTCGACGCCGCCACCAGACAGGTCCTCTTCTCTTCGTCCTCGTAAAAGCGCCCTTTCACCCTCTTTTGAGCCTATTCATTGTTCTTTTCGTGTGAGAGAGAAAAGCCCCAGCCGTCTGCATCATCTTACGTACTGCGTTCTGTGCCCTTTTCGCTGCCAGTGCCCTCAGCAAGCCCGCTTCGTCCTCCGTCTCCCCGCCCCGAATTCAGATTCCGTTTGTGTTTGGTGGCTTGCTGCGACGATAAAACCATATTTCGACGAGAGAGAAGCGATACGCCTACAGTTTTCACTGTCTTCAGCCGTTATATCGAACGAAAAGGCATAGCTGAGAGTGGACGGATCCTCCCCCCCCAACAAACAAATCGTCCATCGCCGCCATCGCCGCTCTTCGAGAAGGCGGCCCCAAAACCTTCGCCTCTCCACTTGCAAAAGCCCTTACATACAGACTCCCGCTAGCTTCGGCGCCACACCCAGACTAAAACATTGACCTTCCACGGGCCCAGTACAAATCCCACGACCTAAGCCCTCGTCTCCGAATCTCGTGCAAAAACAACGACTATTAATAAATGGCCGCCCCCCGCTGCTCTGAGCGTCGTCCTTCGGTGCTCGAGTCGTCTGCGTCCAAGGGCTCCAACATGGCGCGCCCCATCTCTCCCCAGTCCGAGACGTCGCGAGGCTCCTTCTCGTCGGTGCGCGAAAACGACGACGGCCTCGCCCAGACCTTCACCCGCTCCAAGATCTCGTCCTACGCAGACGTGCCCGAGGAGGTCTTTGACGAGTCGCCCACGCTCGAGCTGAACCAGCCCACCTTCCGCCCGCCCGTGACGCAGCCCAACAGCAGGCTCCATGGCTTCTGGTACCCGGCCGACGGCTTCAAGGGATGGAGGGAGATTCCGCTCAAGGGAAGGACGGCCAGTCGCAGCTTTGAGAATCTGCACAGGCTGGGCATGACCTGGGAGTCTCCGGCGCCTGTGGTTCAAAAGCCAAAGGAAGCCTATCCGGCCAGCCAGTCCCCCTTGGAGAGGCTGCCGAGCGAGGTTCTGGGTAAGTTGATTGGAAACCTTGCTTGAGAGATCCAAGTGTCGACACAAGTTACAAGGCGTGGTCGCTAACGATGTCCACCACAGGCTCCATCATCGACATGCTTTTCGTCGAGCTGCCCCCCAATGGACTGACCACTCGCAATGCCGACCTCATGTCCCTGTTGACGACCTCCCGATCTCTTCATGCCGCTACGCTCAACACTCTCTACCGGCACGTCACCATCCCTCACTCGCGGATCTTCCGCAAGTTCCTCGCCACTATCTCGGCGTACCCGTCCCTGGCGACCATCGTGCGCCGCCTCGACTTCAGCCACTTCAACCCGTCCATGTTCTTTAGCACCGCCAGCGAGAGGGCTCAGGCTCGCAACCTGACGTCCGAGACGCTCGTCCAATGCCTCCAGCTGATGCCATACCTTCAGGAATTCCTGGCTCAGGAGTACATCGACGACGATCTCAGCGCCGACGTGCTGCGCCAGCTCTTCTTCAACTCCCCCGAACTCCGCGGCCTTGACTTTTGCGGCTGCTCTTCCGCCTCGTTCAAGAACTCCTTCGTCAGCATTCTGGGGGATGAGTGGCCCCAGCAGCTCTCCATCACCAGGCTGTCTTTCCACAAGTGCCTCAGCCTGCCATCTGCCGTTTTCGAAAAGATTCTTCCTCGGCTGCCTCAGCTGACTCACTTGGATGTTATGGGGACGCGCATCACCGACGAGGCCCTTCTCTCCATCCCCGCGTCTGCGAGACTGACTCATCTGAACCTCGCCAAGTGCAAGGATCTCTCTGCGACGGCTGTTTTGGATTTCATCTCAACCCATCCGGCGGCGCAATCATTGGTTTTCCTTAGTTTGGCAACCGATGCAAGCACCCACCTGTTGTTGGGCAAATATGATGTGAACCAGCTGCTGCCCAAGCTGCCGAGCACGCTCCGCTCGCTGAGCCTTCGGGGTTGCCGAATGGAGGCGGCACACTTGCCAGAGATCATCCGGCTCTCGCAGACCCTCGAGGAGCTCGCTCTTGGCCGTGGGCTGAGCATGACTGACATTCGCTCCATCTTCTTCCAGGGCCAGGAAGCCCTCCCTCACAACCTGAAATACATTGATCTTTCAGACATTGATACCGTCATCGGAAGCGCCAGCGACTTGCTGGCCCCCGCCTCGGCGCCGCTTCGGGTGATCGAAATCGCCGAGCGGTCGTACGAGCGCGCGGCCAAGTCGAACAAGAGCCTTGAAAAGGTCGGCTGGACCGCCAAGGAGTTTGGGAGCCGCTACTGGCTTGTCCGCAAGAACGAGGACGGCACCACGCAAGACAACGGAAGCCGAGTGTGGAAGATGGGCGCCGACAGCTGGGGAATGAGAAAGGTCCCCGTGGCTGTCGCCGAAGTCGGCGGCATGTACGGCTCCTACATGTTTGGACGACGCATCTAATGGCCCGCACTCCTCCTTCTTTCTTCTTCTTCCTTTCTTCTTCTCTGGCTTTATATTCCCAACTCTACTTGTCCTTTTTCTTACGTGGATTGGAACTCGGTTCTGTTGTTTTGCCCATGGGCTGTATCCTGCGAGGCGCAATGCGTACAGGTCTTACTTTCGGACGGTGTTGGAGGCTAAGATATCCAAAAGCAAATTTGCTCAGCGTTCTGTTCATCGAGGGAGAAAAAGATACAAAAAAAGGATATGGGCGTTCGGTTGCAATGATTTTGGGCAGGGGTAACGAGGGAACCAAGGCATCATCACGGCGCTGTTGACTTTTAGAAGGGGGTGCCTGTTTCTGGGTTCGAACGTCTCTCTCGCCCCTACGATGATTCAATGCTTTTTACAGATACCTCAGTGTGAGTTAGCAGTACAGGCAGCTATAAAATTGAATTATTGGTATGAAGCAGTTTACAGTATTTTGTCGGTGAACTTCCCCTTATGCAAGGTGACGGAGGCGTTACCGTCCTCTCTGGCCTAATCAGGAAGTCAAAGGGTGGCGATGACGGCACTTGGAGATGACATAATCCATCATTACATTCTCGGCCTCAATGACGACGACTTGACTTGTACTCGTATGTACTTCGATATGAGGCTTAGTGTCCGGACACGGCACGGAGGTGCGTAAAAAAAAAGCATTGAAGTGTAATTGCCAAGCTTTGCCCATAATGAAGTTCGACTTATCTATAAGGTACCTTAGGTATGCAGAGTTGAGATGCCAGCTTATACTTCGTGCTTTACTCGCTCGGTACGGCTCTTAGTTTTGGCGCCGATGACGCCCCAAAGCACCGCAGCTGAGCGCCAAAAGAGCGGTTTGAGGCGGTGCACGTGACTGGATGCAGGTACGTAGCGCGTTACGGAACAACTTGAACTCGCGGCTCCGCCAGTCTTGCGCTTGTATCCCCGTACCCTCTCTTAAGCCATTCGCTCCGCCAGGGAGTTCCCTCTCTTTCATACACCTTCTTCTAGTCTTGCTTGATCCTCGAGCAGAGTCTCTCTCGGTGCTGCCCCCGAACTCGCACCATCATGGCTCCGCGAAAGGACACGCCGTTCCGCTCGGCGGAGATGAGCATGGTGCAGCTTTACGTGTCGAACGAGATTGGTCGGGAGGTTGTGACTGCGCTCGGAGAGCTTGGGCTGTGCCAGTTTCGCGATGTACGTATATATACCCTCATTACTCGTCGTCGCCCGTGGACGATGATGACGCCGACGACGATGATGACGAAGGAAGACACTTTATCGTCGAGGCTATGCTAACTTCCGTTTCTTTTCTCTTCTGCGAAACAGCTCAATGAGGATGTCAGCGCCTTCCAGCGAACCTTTACTCAGGAGATTCGACGCCTGGATAATGTCGAGCGGCAACTGCGTACGTCACCAACGAGGCGATCCTCTCCATCAGCTCGTCCACTCGTTTTCCCACCCGCCGCGACGCGGTATTCGAACTAACGCAGCAGTTTCTTTCTAGGTTACTTTTATGCTCAGATGGAAAAGGCGGGGATTCCTTTGCGGAAGCTGGATCTGGACGCCGAGAAGCTTGCGTCTCCGTCGACGTCGGAGATTGACGAGCTCGCCGAGCGGGCCCAGAAGCTGGAGCAGCGCATCTCCGCCCTCAACGACAGCTACGAGACGCTGAAGAAGCGCGAGGGCGACCTCACCGAGTGGCGCTGGGTCCTGCGGGAGGCCGGCAGCTTCTTTGACCGCGCCCACGGCAACGTCGACGAGATCCGCGCGTCGACCGACGAGCAGGACGATGCGCCCCTGCTGTCCGACATGGAGCAGGCCAACTCCGCCCCGGACGTCGAGCGCTCGTTCTCCGGCATGAACATCGGCTTCGTCGCCGGTGTCATCAATAGGGACCGTGTCGCCGCTTTCGAGCGTATCCTCTGGAGAACCCTGCGCGGAAACCTGTACATGAACCAGTCTGAGATTCCCGAGCCCTTGATCGACCCGACCAACAACGAGGCCATCCAGAAGAATGTCTTTGTCATCTTCGCCCACGGCAAGGAGATCCTCAGCAAGATCCGCAAGATCTCCGAGTCCATGGGTGCCGACGTCTACAACGTCGACGAGAACAGCGATCTCCGCCGCGAGCAGATCCACGAGGTCAACAACCGCCTCGAGGACGTCCAGAACGTCTTGCGCAACACCCAGGCCACGCTCGAGGCCGAGCTCACCCAGATCTCCCAGTCGCTGGCCCCCTGGACGGTGCTCATTGCCAAGGAAAAGGCCGTCTACAGCACGCTCAACATGCTCTCGTACGACTCGGCTCGCCGGACGCTCATCGCCGAGGCATGGTGTCCCACCAACGACATGCCTCTGATCCGGTCGACGCTCCAGGACGTCACCAACCGAGCTGGCCTGTCCGTGCCCTCCATCGTCAACGAGATCAAGACCAACAAGAAGCCGCCCACCTACCTCAAGACCAACAAGTTCACCGAGGGCTTCCAGACCATCGTCAACGCCTACGGCACCGCCACCTACCAGGAAGTCAACCCTGCCCTGCCCGTCATCGTTACCTTCCCGTTCCTCTTCGCCGTCATGTTTGGTGACTTGGGCCACGCCATCATCATGCTCACTGCCGCCTTGGCCATGATCTACTGGGAAAAGTCGCTGAAGAAGGTGTCCTTTGAACTGTTTGCCATGATCTTCTACGGTCGCTACATCGCCCTGGTCATGGCTGTCTTCTCCGTCTTCACCGGTCTCATGTACAACGACATCTTTTCCAAGTCCATGACTCTCTGGCAGAGCGCATGGGAGTACGAGAAGCCCGAGCACTGGACCGAGGGCGATGCGCTCGAGGCCCACTTGAACCCCAACGGCTACCGCTACCCCTTTGGCCTCGACTGGGCCTGGCACGGCACCGAAAACAACCTGCTCTTCACCAACAGCTACAAGATGAAGATGAGCATCATCCTTGGTTGGGCCCACATGACGTACTCGCTGTGCTTCTCGTACATCAACGCCAGGCACTTCAAGAAGCCCATTGACATTTGGGGCAACTTCATCCCGGGCATGATCTTCTTCCAGTCCATCTTTGGCTATCTTGTCATTTGCATTGTTTACAAGTGGTCGGTTGACTGGCAGGCTGAGGGTAGGAACCCTCCCGGCCTCTTGAACATGCTGATCTACATGTTCCTTCAGCCCGGAAAGCTGGATGAGCGGTTGTACGCCGGGCAAGAGTACGTCCAGTCGATCCTGCTGCTGCTCGCTTTTGTCCAAGTGCCCATTCTTCTATTCCTCAAGCCGTTCTACCTCCGCTGGGAGAACAGCAAGACCCGCGCCAGGGGCTACCGAGGCATCGGCGAGACATCCCGGGTTAGTGCCTTGGACGGCGACGACGAGAGCGACGCGCTGGCCAATGGTCACGGCGACAGCTTTGACGAGGACGGCGGCGTGGCGATGATTTCTCAGAACATTGATGACGAGCACGAGGAGTTTGAATTTAGCGAAGTCATGATTCACCAAATCATTCACACCATTGGTAGGTCATTCCCAAGAAAGGGTCTCTTGAGTATGAGGATGCTGACGCTTACATGTCTGTAGAATTCTGTTTGAACTGCGTTTCTCACACGGCATCCTACCTGCGTCTGTGGGCCCTGTCGCTTGCTCACCAGCAGCTCAGCGTTGTGCTCTGGGACATGACCATCGGACCCTGCCTTGCAAGAGGAGGCGTGCTTGGTGTTTTCATGATTGTCGTCGGCTTCTACTTGTGGTTCTTCCTCAGTAAGTTTTGTCCAGGCCGACACGTAGGTGATTGATCAAGAGTGCTAACAAGGCGTCAGCAATTGCCATTCTGGTGTGTATGGAGGGCACAAGTGCTATGTTGCATTCGCTGCGTCTGGCGTGGGTCGAGTCGTTTTCCAAGTTTGCCGAGTTCGCAGGCTGGCCGTTTGCGCCGTTTTCCTTTGCCACTCTGATAGAAGAGTCGGAGGAGTTGAAGAATTACCTGGAATAAAGGGGGGAAGGGGGGGCGTGCGAGGGTGTAATTCTGTGGCATTAGTTTCTGTTTCCTTGTCTCTTATTTGTTCTTTTACTTGTCATCTCGTCTTTCTCCTGTTGAGTCTTGTGCTTGTCGATCCAATGTAGTAGACTTAGTGAGCTTACCTACTTGTAGCTCTCGCTTCCCCTCCACCCCCCTTTTTTGTCTGTATGATTATAGGCTGCATCACTACTTGAAAGGAGATGGAAATAATGAATGGCTGATGTACTCTCTTACTACTGTGACAATTTTCATCGTGATATTCCTCATTGATACCTCGTAGTTGAAGTAATTCGTTGTTCGTATACCACTCTGTTCGCTGATATCTCAAGTCATATGTGTTCACATTCTCTACCTATTACAAGTTTTCCGATTCAATATACCAAACATATCCCCCTCAATATCATACCACACCCATTTCCTCTCTCTATCCATCAATCTGTAGACTTCCCATCCTCATCTCCCCTTTCTTCAAAGGTTGTAACCCTCCCAGTTCGGTCATTCATTCAATTCACCCCCAAAGCGGCGCAGTGACCTCCACCGCCCTCTCCACCACCGCGCGGACCCGGTCCGCAAACACCTTGTTGCCGCACTCCACCTCGAGGTCCTCGAGCCAGACCGTCGCCGCCATCTTGCTGTCGAGCCGGATGGAGATGCCGGGCACGGGGATGCCGAGCTTGTGCAGGCGGGCGAGCTCCTTGCGCTTGCGCTCTTCTTCTTGTTCCAGTTGCTGCTGCTGCTGCTGCTTGGCCGCGTCTTCGTCGTCGCTTTCGCCGTTGTCGTTCGAGCTGGAGCTGTTGTTGTTGTTGTTGTTGTTGTTGTCGACGTCCATTGATTCTTCGTCGGGCTTGATGGGGGTGGGTTTTGTGTCGGTGTTGTTGTTGTTGTTGTTGTTGTCGTTGTCGGTGGGGGGTTGTTCTTCTTCTTTGGAAGACGCTTGGTTGTCGCCGTCGTTGTTGGTGTCGTTGGCGGCGGCGGTGGCGGTGGTGTTGCTGCTGTTTGCCTTCTTTCCCTCTTCTTCTTTGGGAGAGGCGGGTAGAGGCGGTAGTTTGGGGTCTTCCACGGGAGCGACGTTGTCGGCGCCAAACTGGGCTTCTAGGAACCACATGAGGCGCTCGAGCCGGTCCTCGGGAGAGACATGCGCGTGCGGGTTCTTGCTGTCCAGCTGCGCGGCATAGATGCGCTCGTCGGAAGACGACTCGTGATGCGAGTGAGCATGAGAGTGCTTGGTGTTGTTGGAGGACCGCTTCACGGCGGCGGGCGAGCTCTCGACGGAAAAGAGCACCGCCATGACGGAGTCGGCGATGCCGTCGTTGAGCATGTTGCCCTCCCACTCCAGCTCGACCTCGCCGTTGGTGCGGTACCGCACCGAGACGCAGCCCATGACGAGGTACGCCGCCACCAGGTTCGCCACCTCCTCGTCCGCGTACTCGGCCATCTTCTCGTCGCCGTCGTTGTCGTCGTCGCCGCCATCCGACGCCCCGCCGTTCTTCTTGACGATGCGGCGCATCTCCGGGAGCTCCTCCACGGCCCCAAAGGTGCCCTCCAGCGCCCAGCGGACGAGATCCACGCCGGCGGCGCTCAGCGTGAGGCGCTGCTTGCACGTAATCGTCGTCGTGTTGAGGCCGGCGTACTCCCGCAGGTCCTCGGGCGCCATGAGCGAGAGCTTGAAGTCGTTCTGGACGAGCACGCCCGTGACGAGAGGCGCGGGGGCGTCGGGGTCCTTGGGGGGAGGGATGGAGGCGAGCTTGCCGACGACCTTGGCCGTCTTGTCGGCTTTGAAGGGAATGCGCAGCTCTTCGCAGTTGCGCGGGGAGTAGACCTTGACCTTGAGCGTCTTGTTGGCGTTGAGGGAGAGGAGCTTGGACTTGAGGCGCATCATGTTGTGCTGCTCGCCGTGGACGAGGATCTAGCAAATTGTTTGACAAGCCAAGTCAGTAAGTTGTTCCATTGTGACGCAGGTAATGAGGGACGGGGGAAAGGGGCATCGACGTACAACAACGGGCGCGGCAACCTCTTCGATGAATTCTCGGTTCTCAACACCGTCGACATGGGCGGCAAAGGAGTACTCCTGGACGCTGCACCGCCGCGGAATAAGCACCTTTTCCGAGTCACCGCCAGGGCCTCGACGGGCGCCCGCGATGCTGCGAGACATGACGGCCTGGATCTGGTCGGGCTCCTGCATGATCTGCCTGGCCATGGTGCCCTCGACGCTGTAGCCGGTGATGATGACGCCGTTCTTCTCGCTGGGCGCCCAGCGCTCCAACAGCTCTCTGCTGACTCCGTTCTGCAGCATACCGGGGCTGGCGAGCATGACGCAGCCGCCGACGTCGTCGAAGCGGTCCAGGTTCTTGAGGGAGCGGACGTGCCTGAAGTCCCAGGGCCCGTTCTTGCCCGCCAAATCGCCGCTGACTTCGGCCTCGGCCATGCGCTCTCGGAACAGGCGCTTGATGTTGTCGTTCATTGCTCCGACATACGTCTGGTAGATGACCATGCATTTCCGCGCGAGATTGCTGGCGTAGTAGATGGGGAACTTTTGGTACTCCGGATGCTTGCCCCAGTACTCGTCCAGGATGAGCAGAAGCTCTTGAGCTCGGCCGAGGGCAAACACGGGCAGCAACACTCGACCGCCCCTGTTGAGGATTCCCGTGATGGACTTCATGAGGGCCTGCTCTCGCTCCAGCCGCGGCACGTGGGATGCTATGCCATATGTCGACTCGGTAATCAGCACGTCGATCTTGAGGCCCTTGGGAACCTCTGCGGAGACCAGATGGCGATCCTGCTCGCGGGAGTAATCTCCGGTGAAGAAGATGTTGAGACCGGCAATCTCAATGAGGAACATGGCTGCTCCCAGAACATGGCCGGCCGGATAGGGGGTGATGCGGATGGAGGAAATGGTGTGAGTCGTGTGATAGTCGATCGCCTCGATTTGCGGAAACGTGTTGAGGTGATCCTGCTCCGTGTAGAGCTGCGCGGGCGAGTTTGACGTCGTGTTGCCAACACGGACGCTGTCTTGGATGAGCCACTTGTAGATGGCCTTGGTCGGATGCGTCATGAAGACGCGGCCGCGGAAGTTGGTCTTGGCGAGGACATACGGCAAAGACGCCGCATGGTCAATGTGGAAACTATCTCCTCGTGTTAGCCATATGCTTCTGCAACTCGTTCGGGGGGGCTCATCGGTCGAGAGCAGTGGCAGTGGCAGCGGCAGCGGCAGGTCGTCTGGGTCGGTATATCACAAGGCAGCAAGGAGATGATCTCCAGGCAAAAGCGTGAAGAGGCGAACAACGTATTGTATTCATAACTGGCATATAACGTGGATAGAGAGAGAACAAAAGAGACAGATGAGACAGATGAAGAGAGAGACACTGCATCAGAGCAACACATGGCGGCATCACTGTGCAGATGGAGCAATGCCCTTTTCCCTTTCGCTACAAGTACCAAACGCCCTTCGCCCATTACCTATCGCCGCCTGGCACTTTTATGTTCTGAGTGATGGAGGGGAGGGAGGGGAGGTTAGGGGACGTGTCGCTTACTGGCTGATGAGGAGCACGTCTACGGTGCTGAGATCAAAGTCGTCATAGAACGGTAGGGCGGCGAGGCCATCGTATGCGGGATGCTGGCCAGCGTCAAGCTAGTAAGAGCAGTTGCGTGTGTTAGTTTCAGCCCGATCAAGCAACTCCAGCCAGACTTGAGATGCCTCTCTCTCAGAGTATCCTCACCATGACCGTCTTTCCCTTGTACTGAATAATGTGGCATGACCGTCCAACCTCGTTGCCGCCTCCAAGACACAGAAACATGAGCTCGTCGGCGGGATCCACGGGCTCGTCCGAGGCGGCCGCATTCATCGCGGAAGCCTTGCGCTTGGACGCCATTGTCGCGACTTGGTCCAGATCAGAATGCCTGCCTGGAGGGATGACAAACAGCAGCCTCACATCAGCATTGGGCCGGGGATTCCCTATACGAGTGAGTGAGTGAGTGAGTGAGTGAGTGAGTGACAAGTGAGAAGCAAGTCACGTCGCCGTCATCAATGTCCCCGCGAAGCCACCGGCAAAAGACGCGCGACAATAGCCAGAGCCGCGGAACACAATAGCAGCAGCCCGAGTTGATGCTGGAGTCAGATTTGCCTTGTCCAGCTCGTCTCCATTGGCGGCAGCAATAAGGCACGGTGGCCGCGGCTAAAGCTCGGGCGGCGACGCGTGGTCCGCTGGCAAGTCTCCGGCGCACGTGACTTTAAATCTACGCGACCCCCAACCTGCTGCCGTGAAGCTTCAACCTCAGATCCCGCCCAGCGACTTCTTGTGCGCATCTCCATCCTCACGACGCCCGCTCTCGATCCTCTGGTGCCGAATCCGCACCCCGGCAGCCTCTTGCTCCTCCCGCCAGTCTCGTGCCAGCCTCGCGCGTCGGATGGGACAAGGACCGACTTCCGTGACAGGCTTCAGCGCCTGTTGAGAGCCTTCGATTGCCGCATTCAGTCGCTGCCGGCTTTCGTTTGCTCGCCGTACCAGCTTTGCCCCGGTCAGCTGCCGCGGGGCAGTCACTCCATCCTCACTCGACTCTGACTCGCCGCTCACTTTTCAAAGACCGAATCAAACCTGAGAAGCCATGGCGCAACCACAGCCGCAGCAGTCCCAGGTCCCGCCGCGGGCATTCTCGCCTCCCCAGCCCAGCCCTTCTCCCGCAGCATCACAACACTCCGGCTTTGCGCTGCCTCCCAACAAACGAGTACGAACCGACGGCCCTGCATCACAGCCCGGCTCGCCCTACGCCGCCTCGCCCTACGCCATGAGCCCCGTTCCCGTGGCCGCCACCCCCCCCGCTGCCGCTGGATCGCCAGCGTATCCTCAAGCTCAAGCTCAAGCTCAGGCACAAACACCGCCCGTCCAGGCCGGATATCCTATGCCCTACACCAACGGCCATCCTCCTCCTCCCCAGGGACTGAGTCTCCCAGCCGCCTCGCCCACAGTCTCAGCACCCGTCATGCAGGCCCCTCACCCAGCGCCGGTGCAGACGCCGATACCGCTGCCGATACCGATGCCATTGCCAATGCCGGTGCAAACGCCAGTACAGGTGCAATCGCCAGCACCGGTGCAGACACCAGTGCCGCTGCCGTCTCCGCTACCGATGCCCCAGTATACGAACGCGACAATGCAGCCCATGGCGCAAGCGGCAACTCCTCTGCAGACGCCCGGAATCATGGGCCCTCCTCAGAAGCCTGCAGAGAGGCCCACCAGAGACTACGAATACGACGTGACGGATTCATTAGCCGGCACGGGTATCGATCTCCGCGCAGAGGAGCAGTACATGTCAGAGCTGTACTCGAACGCCTTCGAGACCATCTCCGAGGCCAGGACAGGATTCGCCCACTATGCGCCAGGTTCCAAGTCGTCATTCTACGGCGCTGGCCCCGCCAACCAGCCCGCCCAGCCGACGGACTTATCCCAGAACCAGTATGCCGCCCAAGCAGCTGAGCAGGCATGGCAGGAGTCGTCCATGCGGCTTGCCGTGCAGAGGACACAGGAGATTAGCGATCCATTTCTATTTGTAGCGCTGCTACATCGCCGGATGGAGAAGATTGCTCGCGAGCACCATCTCGGCCTCAACCTGGAGCTTAAGAACAATGCTCAGTCGATGGGGAAGATGAAACTGCCCGAGAACTTTGCAACCCCCAAAGTGACGGTGAAGACGAGCCCTGGTCCGGATGGGACCTTGGTCGAGACCAGCGGATCCTTCATTCCGCACGACGCCTATCTAGTTGATCAACTTGCGTTGTTATCTATAGCCACAAAGCAGAGACTACGCGAACTGGTGGAGGACGCAGATGTGATTGCGAAGACGCGGCAAAAGACATCCCATGGAGACGTGCCTCCAGAGTGGGCACCTGCTGCCGCTCCGATGAATACGGAGCCACTGGAGCCACTGGAGAAGGATGCTGGCACGAACGGATCTGTCGCCGCTGAGGCTGATGCTGGTGCTGAAGCTGGTGGTCGCGGCACCAATCCATTGAAGCGTAAGCTCCTATTTGGTTGAAACTCTGATGAGTGCGAAAAGTTGTTTGCTCACACCTCACAGGTCCTGCTGACACCAGTGACACGGCTGTCAAACAGCCGCCCGCCAAGCTGCCAAAGATTGCGTCGTACGTGACACTGACGATGCGAGACCTGGCCAGACAGGAGCGCGAGTGGGAAGAGGCTCGGCTGCGGCGACGCCAGCTGCGCAAAGAAGGCCTGAGTGACGGGGCTCCATCAGCTTCACGAGCGGGTAGCGCTGCACCCGGTACGCCCGGATCAGTGGCTCCCGAGTCGGAAAAGGCCATGACGAAGAAGGAACTGAAGAAGACGCAGGCGATGAAGGCCGCGGAGGCGAGCAGCCATGCGAACCAGAACCTGACCAGCAGCATGTTTGCGGGCCTGGGAGGCAAAGGAAGCCTGTTTGGCAAGGGCAAGAAGGGCAAGACGTACGACTGGATGAACGTTGGCCGAGGAGGAAGCGGAGCTAGTACCCCGACACGGGCCGCTCCCGGACCCGGCAAAGGGCCGAACGGGGTCCCCGGAGCGGCGGCCTCTCCCGGCAACATGGCACTGACGACGGAGGGCCGCAACCGACTGGGCACGTGGCGAGAGGACAAGGAGAAGGGGAAGAACATTCAGCTGCGTGACTGGATCACGGTGCTGGAGAGAGACGGACGAGAGGCCAAGGCGCTGCAGCACGCTTATATAAACCTGGACAGTTCGAATCCTAAATAATTAATGACTACAACGGCTGGAGGGGGGGCGGGGGAATATCCGGAGGGCCTTGGGAAAAGGGGACAGAGGGATGATGGATGGGGTGGATGGATGGAAATGATCAGACATCATGGGGCGGGCTCAGTCATAGTTGAGATACCCTGCGCTACCAACCTTCCCTATGCAGAACACCGTGTTTCTGCTCTATCCCTTTTTACACATCTTTTCCCCCCTCTTCTTTTTCAATTTTTCTTATGGTTTTTTTTTTTTTGGTTCAGCAGGGCGTTTTACGTTGTATGTTATTCTTGCAAGCAAGGCATTCAAGGAGAGAAAACAGCGGCTTGGAGGCGGGCGGTCACGCAAGGGAAAACATCCAGGAGGATTAAAGCGGCTTTTTATCAGGGAGATGAAAATCAAATAAAGTAAAAGAAGCGGTACTTTCTCTCTCGTATGTGGCCTTTGCTTTGCCTCGTTCACTTTTGGGTTGTGAAGATGGGTGGTTATTTGGAGTATAATCTACATACAGCAAAATGTAGGAGTCAGGGGATGATGCTTCTTCAAGTCAGGTAGTGTTGTGTGTGGTGTATTGAGTGTTTCTTTCCTCTCTTTATAGACAAGGAGGTTGAAAGTGATGATGACGCTTGGGAAAAGCAGGCGGAGGTTTGGTGGATATGACTGCACTGATATATTATTGTCTTCTCTGAGTGTGGTAGTGACATATGTGAAGGACAAGTACCCAGGTGAGAGAAGAAGCATCAAAGGCTGCTGAGACTTGAAACTGAAGAATTGCGTAAAATGAAAATAACGCCCCTTTTACATGACTTCTTATATAGTTCTTCATAACATGATTCATTCACATTCAAAACCCCCTCGATTCCCAACTCATCAACCACACAACACACACACAAGTGCCGTATCACTCGCCCCCCTTGCGCATAAGCCCCCTCTCCTCGGCGCCCTCATCCTCCTCATCACTCTCCGGAATATCCTCCAGCGCGAAATACGCCGCCGAAGACTCGGGCGTCTCCTTGTGCACCCTGTTCCCGCCCGTCGCCGCCCTCCTCCTCGCGGCAAGCCACGAAACGGCGCCGACGCCGCCCGCCTCGAGCAACACCACCAGCGCCACGAGCGCGATGCCCAGCTTGCCCAGGCCGTACAGCGCGAGCCCCGCGAGGACGTTGGCCCAGCCGCTCAGCAGGATGGTGAAGCCCAGGGCGATGTGCGCGTACGAGATCCAGGTGCGGCGGAAGATGCGGAGAAAGTCGACGTGGTGGCGCCAGCCGAGGAGCGCCTGCAGGGGGAGCAGGCAGACGATGGCGACGCCGGCGATTTGGTGCGGCGAGGCGAAGACGCGGTCGCTCATGATGACGGCGGTGACGGCGCCGGAGAGGGCGCTGGCGGAGGCGGTGGCCTGGACGGCCCAGTGGTGCTTAAAGGCGCTTGTCGAGCCGGAGCGGATGGCGACGGCGCCGAGGGGGAAGAGCAGCAGGAAGGAGGCCATCATGAAGAAGCCGTGCAGGTGCGCCAGGGGCCGGGACAGGAGCTTCTGCCACAGGCTCTTGTTGTTGCTGTCTCCCGCCATGGGCCGGTCGGAGGCGCCGATGTTGGCGTTTGCGTTGGCGGCGTCCTTGTTGGTCAGGTTGAGGGCGGGAAAGCCGTCGGCGTGGTGCGACGTCGCGGCCTCCATGTCGACGTAGAAGTAGCCATAGTTGCCGTCGACGAGGGAGTGCATCTCGAGCTGCTCGTCGGCGGCGAACGCCTCCATGTCCTGGTTCCTGTTCCAGGCCCAGATCCAGGGCTGGGAGGCCGACTCGGGGGAGATGTCTGTGCCGCGCCAGTCGGAGCAGCCGTAGCACACGGCGTGGGCAGAGGCCACAAAGTACACGCTGCTGCCATCACCATCACCATCCGTCTCCTTTGCCCAGCTCGTCTCTGCGACGCGGACGTCGACGGGCTGTGATGATGAACCGGCGGCGGCGGCGGCGTCCTCCTGGGTGATGAGCACGGGTCTCGCATGGCCCGTCTTGACGGTGCGCACGCTGAGCGTCGGCGGCTTGATCTTCTCCCCGGCGGAGGCCTCGGGATCACCGTAGAGGACGAACATGAGGGAGCCGGCCATGCGGGGGCCGGCGCCGACGGCGGTCCAGCCGAGGGACGACGACGACGACGACGACGACGACGACGAGTTGCCGGGCTGGACCACGGGGCGCCGGACGGAGAGGGAGAGGTAGACGTCGTGGGCCGAGGTGGAGTGGTTGTGGTAGAGGGAGAGGGCGACGCAGAAGTCGACCTCGTCGCGCGGGGCGCCGAAGAGGCAGTACTGCGAGGGGGTGGCGGAGGAGGTGGCGGCCAGGAGGGAGAGGAGGAGGAGGAGGAGGGCGTGGAGCAGCATGGTTGAAGGTTGGTGATGGGTGAGGCTGCTTCTATGTGCTTTGTTCTGTGTTGGATTGGATGATGAATTGGCCGGCGCTTACACGACGAGAAGGCAGCTCCAATGGCCGGCAGCTTGATGGAGAATCACAACGCAAGCCGGGTGATGAGAATTAGGATGATGAAAACAAAAAAGCCCTTCCACAGCCTCTCTCACATGGTCAATTGACCCAAGGTTTGAAAGGATTGAGTTGCTCCGCAGTTTTGGGTTGCGCAAAAGTTGGACGCATGCGGAGAGGCGCTGCGATACGAAAAAAAAAAAAAAAAGTAAGACTGTTCGCTATTATCGGGCTCTCTATCTATCAGGAAGCGGGAATCCTGCAGGAACTAACGCATGGTGACAGGTTATGACATATCTGCCTGAATGGATTGATGACACGGAGAGACCAGGGTTTGGATGACCAAGGTTCCGTGCTCTCCTTAAAGAGAGTGTGGGAAGATGCAACTTGTTGAGGATTGTAAAGAGAGTTTTGATTGAACTTGCAGCTGGACTTGATGTATGTACACCATCGTGAGTCTGTTGGTCGGCACAAAGAAAGGGATCTTCATCAGTAAAACCGGCATACTATTTAATGCATGCCGCTGTCATTACTTGCACAGGCCAGAACAGTCCAAATGCCGCGATTATGCAATGCAACGGCAGGATTGCGCCAATAAGGCGTCGAGTTTTGCTCAGCTTCACCAAGAGGCTCGTGTCAACACCACATGAACCATCACCACACACGGCCTCTCCTACGTAACGAGAGTCAACCCAACCGCAGTCGACTCAACCACAGTCAAAAGTCCATCACAGTCAACTTAGCAAGACTACATACTCTCGACTTCGTCAGGCAGAAGCAGGCCGGCTGGACCAGTGGCCGGCACAGCACAGCGTCAGCCATGACAATCGCAGTAATACTACATAGACCCCAAAGCCCATCAGCTCCATCATCGCAAAAAAGACAAGCAACCCAGAAAGCCCCTGCTAACAACTTGACATATATCATGTAATACCTCAGGCCGTTGGACAAATCTGCTCCACCGCGTCAATCACCGCAAATCTGAACCAGTGTGTGAGGTTGGTTGCCAAGGCGGCAGTTGGTGGAGCAAAAGTACGCCCATCTCTCTCTCTCTCCCTGCATTTATACTACAGCTACTACTACATACTACTACTTCTATCACTTCTGCTCGCTCCCCCTTGCCTCATCTCCTTTGTCCCGGAAGTCTCGCCTCCGGGCTTGAGACTCTGGTGAGACTCTTGCGTGAGATGGCGAGACGGACGGCAACAAGGAAAGGAACCCTCATCCCACGGTGGACCCTGACATTGGGGAAGCGAGGAATCAACGGCAATGGCCTCGTGGAGCTTTTCATCCTGGATCAGATGGGACGAGAAGCATCCGGGTGTCTCGTCACAGTCCTCGGCACCCGGGAGCTTTGCTGCTGGCCTGAGCCGTGTCTCAGAGGGTGACGGAGCTTCAGCACGGCGTCCATCTCGCTTGTTCACTCACTCACACACACACACACACACACACACACACACCCTCTCTGCCTGATCCATCCGATCGATATCAGGATGGTCTGGAGCTGACGATCCAACGCCGCCCAGGTCCTGTTCCTCCCGGAAGCCTCCGACTACATCGCCGTCAACGCCCAGGCCTCGCTCGACCTGGCCGTCCCCCAGGCATCGTCCCCGTTTGTCCAGGGCCTCCGCGCCGCCGCAAAGGCCCACTCCATCGCCGTCCACGTCGGCATCCACGACACCATCGCCACCACCGCGACGCATGAAGAAGAAGAAGAAGCCCAAGCCGAAGCCAGCCACCAGCCAGCCCGCAAGAAGAAGATCCTCAACCGCGCCCTGTACATTGACGCCGACGGCAGCGTCAACCACGCGGCCACGTACGACAAGCTGCACGTCTTCGACTACGGGGCCCTCCGCGAGAGCGCCACCGTCCAGCCCGGCGCCCGCCTCGTCGCCCCCTTCGACTCCCCCGTCGGCAGGATAGGCAGCCTCATCTGCTTCGACCTGCGCTTCGCCGAGACGGCCGTCGCCCTGGCCCAGCCCGGCCGCGGCAGCCCCTGGGCGAGCCGCCCGGCGCAGGTCCTCACGTACCCGAGCGCCTTCACGCTGCGCACGGGCGAGGCGCACTGGGAGGCGCTGCTCCGGGCGCGGGCCATTGAGACGCAGAGCTACGTCGTGGCGGCGGCGCAGGTCGGCCGGCACAACGAGAAGCGGGCGAGCTACGGCCGCAGCATGGTCGTCGACCCCTGGGGCAGGGTGCTGCTGTGCCTCGGGGGGGTGGCGGACGCCGAGGGCAACGCCGAGGACGGCGCCGTGGGCGAGGTTGGCTTTGTGGACATTGACCTTGGCGAGCTGGAGAGGGTGCGGAGGGAGATGCCGCTGCAGCGACGGACGTGAGATTTGACAAACTTGCTGTTGGATGGACGACGGATGCTGACAACCATTGTTTGCAGTGATGTTTATCCCGAGCTCTCACCGGGGGCGTGAAGCTTCTAAGAGCATGCTCTGAGGAGACTTGTCGGACCTGGTGCCTGATCAACTACCTGTAGGCCCGTAGCACATACTGGTAGCAGCAACATTTGTGTCGTGTCGTGCCATGTCGTGTCGTGTCGTGTCGTGCCAGGCAATGTCCCGCTGCCCTCCCCGTGCAACGCGGCACGTCTCGGAGGTCTGAGTCACAGTTACTATCCCGGCCAGAGTAGTAGTAATACTTTTCCTATATAGAACGAGTTGCAAAGTAGATGGCCAACGGAGACGGCGTACAGGCAAACGGGACTGGAAGACCTTGCTGCTCCCGTGCGGCTCAGGATCGGCAGGGGCCGTGTAAGCCAAGGGCAAACGGCGAACATGTGTTCCGTGAGCCCCCCCCCCCATTGCACGAAGGTGATTGATAAACTGGTGCCGCCATGTATCTTGGTACGCCCAACAACATGAGAACACGTACGCCTGGAACGAAATCGGTCAAGTGAGTGAGTGAGTGAGTGAGTTCCTTGGGGATAGTTGTGAGTGAGTTTCAAATGCGGGAGAGGCAGAAAGGGAGAACTAGTAGTAGTCTAGAGGCCGCCCCCCGCGAAGTTGCTCTATTTGATGCTCTCCATGCGATCCCATTTGGCGAAAAAAAAAGAAAAGGCCCTTTGGACGGGGCATTTAAGCGAAGACGCATCTGATACTGTTCCCGACCGAATGCTGAAGCACAAACACCCCATTCGAGCTTGTTTCACCTTGCCTTTTTTTTTTTTTTTTTCCCTTTTCATTCTTCACTTTTCTTGACGGAAGAAGCAAAAGCGGCTTGCGCGGCACCTTGCAAGCCAAGCCGTGCCGTTCAGGCGAAGAAGAAGAAAAGGGTGAAACTCTGATGATGATGATTAATAGATGGAGAGAAAAAAGAAAAGAAAAAAAGAATATATGACAGAATGTAAAAGAAAGAGGCGAGAGTTTGGTCATAGTAGTATATCGACTTTGGGAGTCATTAAATTACGTCTCACTTTTGCCGTAAAAAGTTCTTTTTTGGTCTAATGGAGACTGGGTGGTGCGTCTCTGGTTGTGAGTTGCGAGGCGAAAAAAAAAACGCTTGAAAGAGGAAACAGTCGGAAAAGACTTAATGTCGGTAGAGTTGGCTGAATCCTTCGTCTTGTGTGATTTGTAGCTTGTTACTACCTGATCACGGAGTTGTTCTGCGTAGGGATTTATGTATCCAAGACCGACAAAGTCCATCATGGGGCTCGCAAGTTGACCATGCCGCCTGTATGGAGTCGTTCGTTCATCGTTTATACGACCCAGAGCACCGGTATTACGATACAGTCTCGGCAGTATTAACCAAGGGCCCCAACCCAGCAGGCTTCTGCTAGTTACTTGGGCAGAACAGACGGAAAAGAGGCGTCCGATCAAAGAAAACCTGCATGCATACGGTACATGTAACATGCCACCCCCCCCCCCCTTCCCTTTGCTCTCCGCATACATGTACCCACCACATCACACACGCCACAAGCCCCATCATTCGCATCTCGCATCTCGCATCGTGCATGCATACAGTGTCTCCCCCATCCAGCTAGCGATAGGTAGATGTATATCTCCTCTCTTGCTTCACCACTGGTAAGGGAAGATACTAGTACATGCTCAGTAGCATTACTACTAAGTAGGTAGTCCATGCATGGGCACCAGCTCAGCTCAAAGCTTCCATCTCCCTTTTCAAATCCCTAGTTTAACCAACCACAAGTTAAAGTACCATAGTGAATGGAAATGGTTCCTGCAGCCGGTTTGCTTTTCCCCAGATCCGGAGCTTTGGGTCCCTTCCTCTAGTATCTTGTCCTAAAGGCCCCCTTCTCCATTGGCTGTTGTTGCTGTTTGAGGGGGGTGATGTGGTGTTTAACATGTTTTACACTTTTCTTGTCCTGGTGTTGTATAGGCGAGGAACCAAAGGGAAGCCAACAGATGGGCAACGATCGTTTGTCGTCGCGGAAGACGGGAAGAGGATGGGGGAAAAGCAAAGAAGGGCGTGCCTGGTAGGAGGAGGTAAATAAGGGAGATGAGGGATCGGTGCAGTGTGTCCAGCCATATTGAGACGATGCGGCTGAGGAGGGCCAGCTAACTAACTACGTACTGGGCAAATCGATGATCACGCACTCGTCCAACGGAAATCCCTTGCATTTCGTACCCCATTAATCGTACATGAATCTGAGTCCATCGTATAACTAGCCCGCCCAATAGTCTCACCCCAGACAAACCAAAGAAAGAAAGGGGAAAAAAAAATGAAAATTAAACTCTCAACAAAATAGGACAAGACATAAACGGAAATAAAAGTACCTTGTCTATCTCAAGAAAAAGGAAAAAAAAAAAAAAAAAAAAACACAAAAAGGGCAAGCAGGTTATGCAAACTCGAATATATCGTCCAAAGGAAAGAAAAGAGAAAGAGGAAAAAAAAAGGAAAAAAAAGTCGCGCGGGTCCATCTCTCTCTCTCTCTCCCGTGTCTTGGTCTTGTAGTATTACAGCTGTTTTTGTTATCGTACTATTAGCCGCGCCTCCGTCATGTAAGTTTGCCAAGTCTCTTGTTTGTCTCTCTCTCTCTCGCCTACGGCTTTTTCCCCTTGCCGTGGCGAAATTCTTTTCCCTTCCTTGCGCTTTTGCCTATCAATCTCTCTCTCTCTCTCTCTTTTCTTCTCTTCTTATTTCCGACCCCGTGAACCTGGTCTGGTCTGGCTGTTTCATCACAGACACGGGATGTGATTGTGATGTGAAGGGGTAATAAAAAGTACTACTTCAAAAGCGAAACAACAGAACGAGCTGGAAAAGCGAAAGATGTCTCGCCAAGGTACCTTGGATCGTATGAACAGTCAGTCACTTTCTGTTTCGCAAAAAGGAACAAGAGCGTGAAAGGTAAATCAACATGTTATGACATGTTTGCCGCGAAGCAAGGTCTATTCTATAATCTGTTTCTATCTAGAGTTGTAAACAAAAGGGGGGTATCCTCCGAAGCCAATCATCTTCAGCTCGGGCCATGCCATTGCCAACACTGGCCGCCAAAAGCCCCCTCAAAGATTTTTTGTTGTGCTCTTCGCCAACCCCAGACTCATTGTACATTTTGAAAAAAAGGAAAAGAAAGCAAAAAAAGCAACAGGGCGTTCCCAACCAACCACTGGTTAGTGACTATGTGTTGGTCGACCGCCGCTTGTACCTGCGTCGGTGCGATCCCCGCGAAGGGCCGAACAGGTATTTGTCACCCAAAAACGTCTATATGCAGAAAAGATACCCTTTTGAAGCCGAGAAAATCCCCATCCTTTTTTGGTCTGTCCCTCGCTCGCCCTCTCCGTAGTCCCCAGCGTGGTAGTATATCCCTTGGAGATGAGGATGTGAAATGGCCCGAATTGCTTTCATCTCGATCGCCGCGAGAACCCGGAATGGTAGCAAGGCGATATGGCGAGGCAAAAACAATCAATATCGTTGGCGCGCATTCCAGTATGTGCCGCCCTTGTCAAGGGTAAAGGGTAGGTAGGATAGAAGACCGCGCCGAGGGAGAGGAGAGAAGGAAAGGGAAGAAGGGAAGAAAAAATGGGGAAAATGAATCCCCGTGAGCAAGTCCGTCTAAGTAAAACGCCGTTTCTCTGGTGTGTAAAGAGAAAGAAATCCCGTTGGAATAGTAACACATCCGAGATCACTGCCGGTGATCTGGAAAACCTCTGAGTAAATGGAAAAGTGGCCTTGTTCAGTCGTGCGAAGCGTTCTTTCGTTGGTCGACGGCGAATGTCGTTTGGAAATCCCGTAGTTTGAGTCCCCGAGAGTGCGAATTAAGAGAGAAGTATTAAGAAGTATTATGCGAGGCCCCATCGCTTGCGACTGGGCCCCGGGAACAGGTGAAGACGAAGAAGAGGAGGAGGAGAACGCGAGTCGCATCTTGTTGCCGAATCCCGTGAGGTCGCAGTCCCCATTTACTGAGGCTGAGGAGGAGGGGGCTTGGGGAGGCCAGTGGTGTCGTAGGCGCCACGGCCGAAGTTGGTGGGCTTGGAGCAGGACTCAATCATTTTGACGGTGGTGTGTGAGGGTGAGGTTCTGCAGAGGGTATGTTTGTTAGCAAGGAGGGAGGCGGTAGAGGGCGAGGAGTCTTCTTCGTCAACTTACATTAAAAGTGTAGTAGTATGAAGCAGTGTTTGGAATGTTTGTCAAAAAGATGGATGACGAAGCAGCTGAGTGTGTGTGTGTGTGTGCGAGAGAGCGTGAAATGCCAGACGGCGTATTAGATCAAGGTAGGTCGAGAGAGTGAGTCGTTTCAAGAGCCAAAGGAGTGGACTGTGGTGTATTGCGTGGACGCCGGCGCGCAGTAAAGAGTGTAACAAGGCAAAAGGACGGAACGGATTAAAAGGCGATGGTCGAAACCAAGAAACCGGAGGGCGGGGAGCGAGAGGAATAAATAAATGGATGGATGAAGCAAACAGCCTTTCGAGGGAATAGGGGCCCTTGTTGACGAACGGCAAGCTTGGTAATTAATTAAACGGGAGCGCACAAGTCTGGTCGCTGGTGGATGGGAATCGGATACGCCGCTAAGAGACGGGTACCTGACGCTGGTGCGAGAAACTGTGTGGATATTGGGGTGTGTGCCGTATTCGTGAGTGAGAGTGAGCAGAGTCGAGGTGTGTGTCTGTGGGGCCGAGGATTTGGTTTGGACCTGGCCTGGAAGGTGTACGAGCTTGAGATGAGATGAGATGAGATGAAGAGTGGCTTTTGCGCTGTGTTGGCTGGAGAGAGAGCGAAGGGATTGACGCTGCTGCTCTGTTGTAAGGGAGACGATCCGCGTTATATGTGTGTGTGTGTGTGTGTGAGTGAGAGTGAGTGAGAGTTGTTGTCTGTTGTCAAGGAATGGGAGTGGTTGGATGGAGAGGAGGCAAGAGATTCGGGAGGGAGGGAGGCAGCCTTTTTGTATTGAGTTGGCGACGACACTCGTCCTGTTTCCTCTTCCTCTCGATGCAAACAAAAACCCCAAGAAAAAAAAGGAACCTTGGAGCAGGGAAAACACAAGAAACGACACATAACGCATCCCAAGGTACCGGTATACCGTACCTACTGTACCTCGTCTGGCGGCGGCGGGATCCCAGGCCTGCAAAAAGACGTTGTTCCAGAGAATGCCCAAAATTGCCCGTCTTAGGCCCGGCTCTGTGGGAGCGAAGAAGGGAAGGGGAAAAGGAGGGTGCCGGGATGGGCAGGGATGCCATCATGTACCTGGCCTGGAGGCTGCAGGTCTGTACAAGGGCCTGGCCTGGCTCTTGCATCCGCGGCAGCTGTCACTGGGGGGGGAATCAAAATGCAGACCCATGATCTCTTTCGTTCCTGGAACAGTGGAGCACCTGCAGCCCTGGTCAAACCATGTCGGCGGCGCGGACGGTGGAGACGCAAGCATATTGATTCAATCGCTGGTGTGGGAGGAGACAAGACATGAAGCCATCATGGATCTGGACGGAGACCAGGAGATGCTGGTCATCAGATGGTCCATACCAGAGCTAAGCTACGGGCTAGTAGCACCGACAGGTAGCACAGTAGCTGGAGGTGGTGCAAGCCGTGCAGGTGTGCTGTATTACAGGCGCTGCGGCCACTGTAGCTCCCGAGGCAGCCCGTCCGGGGCGCTGAAGCATCAAGTCTGCGGTGGTCCCATCAATCGCCCCAGCTGGTCTGGTCGGGTCCAGTCGCTTCCAGCTCGAGGTGAGCGGCAAGTCGAGGCGAGCTTCACGCCGCCGCTCCCTGGGCCTGGTCAGCCCGACCCAAAACGCTGGGCTTCAACTCTATTCATGCTGCAAGAGGGTGCCCTCGTATCGAGAGTTTGTGCCAGCTGTGCAGTGCGAGTAAGTCTGCATTACATGGAATTGCATGTATGTACTGTCGCTTCCATACTGTACACGGGCACTTCCGCCAGGCACCGCAGCAGCTTCATGATCTATTAATGGCACCTAGCCGTGTCAGTGATGCCGTCAGTCCATCTGTCAAGTCAGCTACTCAGGTAGCATTATGCCGTCAGACATGTGCCCTGGCATTATTACTCGTGCACCTTACAGTACATAGATAGGTTACTGTATCTCTTCAGCAACATGTCGTACAAAGACACCACACGGCATGTACAACCACAGCAACACTTCAGATGACACTGATCCAATTCAAGCAGCCCTCGCGTACTACCGCCGTGGCGTGTTCGATTATAGCCCGGACACGCGAGAAACAACGTTTGACCCAAGCCTCGATCCATCATCTTCCCATCCGCAAAAGAAGGATAAGAGCGAAATAAGTCAAGGCTAAATGTACCAATTTGTCCGCGGCCGGCAAGCACAGGCATTCTCCGGGCACCGTGTACCTGGTTCGGCCTCTGCTAGGAATTGAAGGGACGAGGAACCTGGAAGAAAAAATTAAAAAAGGTCCTGACAGGCCGCACTTTACAGGCAGCTTACCTAGTCTAGTACAATATCACGCCCTGATGAGAGCCTCATGAGTGGAGCAGCAGATGCTACCAAAGGCTCCTCTTCTGCCTGCACCAACCCCCCCGTGTCCAGGAACGGGGACGGTACCTGTTTCCTGCAGGCACCGTCCGCGCGGGAACGGTATTTGCACCCCGATCATGCATGTACCTTGCATGTAGCTGTGCATGCAGGGTCCTGCAAGTCCTGCAAGTCCTGGGAGAGCTGCTGCTGCTGGTGGAGGTCCCGCCTTGCTTGTTCCAGAGCCCTTCCGTCGCGCCGGCATCAGCTCCCCGGAGCTCCAGGCCGGGTAAGACAGGGCTCCTCCCAGGGAGCAAAGGGGGAATAGCGGCACTTTTTCTTTCTTCTTTTTGTTTTTCCTTTTTTTTTCTTTTTTTTTTCCCGGTTGGTGGCTGTTTCTTGGGCTTCGTCTTTTCTTTTTCCATCCCGTCTCTGTCGCTTGTTATTCGGTTCATGTCTAGGATGATCGGGTGACGGGCCCAAGATAAAGGAGATATCAAATCCAGGGGCGACCCGAGGAGACGGCATCACAGTAAACGGCGGGACATTCAAACGAGCCAGATACTACCCCTACTGTCTGATGCTACCTACCAGTGGTAGGTTGAGTTCTTCCTACTGCCTCCTACGGCACCATGGAGAAAACAGCACGTCAACCATTCCCAAGAGCTGCATCCAAAAAGGTCCCGTCCCCGATAAAATCCACAGTCCAGGCGCTACTTTAAGTTCCTTCTTTTCCCGCCTTGCATTAGGTGTCTCCCTCCGGCTAGTCCCGTTGCGGAACTGGTTTTACATTGCGGTCCTCGCAGCTCAGGCGCCAGGCCATACTGGGCATAGCGCATCTACCCGAAACGGTAGCTTCGAATTCGTCCCGCTGCAACAGAAGTCTTCTAGAAACTGAGCGGCCCTGCTAATCCTCCATGTACGTACCGTATGTATGTACTTTCGTACTGTATTCCGACGGCAAAGCAAGCATCAAGTATCAATATCAATGCAAACAGGCTCGAGGCGAAGGCCGTGAGAGGTCGAGCTTCTCGGTCAGTTGTGCCGGCTGCGCTTGCTGTCCTTGTCCCCGGTTTGCTCCTATTCCTGGACGGATATGTTTTACTATTCCTTCACAACTGTGCTATTCCGTGTCAAGTACTAGGTAATGTCAACTCCCCTGTAGAGGCAGATTGTGGTTCAAGCTTGCTGCTGCGGAAGCATCGTCGGCTAACCAGCCGCACACCCGGAACTTGTCATAAACCCCAGGTCTGCAAGTACACTTTGGGCAATCAATCAACAAAAGACATCTCACTTTCGGCCCCAAGCTGCACGAGCCGCAGTGGCGAATTGCAAGGAGCAATGAGACAAAGCTGTGCCTAACGAAGTACCTACCTACGAGGACGTAAGTCCTACAACTATCACTATACCTTGCCGTAAGAACTATGCACACGCCGCGGCTGCTGCTGCTGCTGCTGTTTATGACCACCTGTTTGCCGTGGCACCGTTCCCGTCCGCCGATCCCGAGTCATTGCAAACCCCGTCCCTTTCCTCGGTTTTTTCCTTTTTCTTCTGGCTACCTATCCTGTTTTTTGCCGCCGTGTCTCGGTCCGTGTCCCGCGGGAGCGGTTCCGGGCCAATTTCCACAGGTTTTAAGCTGGGTACAGAAGTGCTCTGCGCTGCTACTGACTCTGCTGGGTATGGACATGTACTACAGGTATAGACGAACGGCGAGATGATTAAGGAAACGAATTATGACAGCCGCATGTCTGACACTTTAATCAAGCCTGCCAAGAACAGGAAACAAAGAAATATAAGAAAAATGTGGGAAAAGATAATCATACACAAGGTGGCAAGTGAGAAAAGGATGAATCAGAAACGGCACATCCAGGTCGGTACCTTGGCAGGTAAGGGAGTTTCACAATTGCCTGGGCTCAGTGGTGGCGTTGTTCATCGCCGCGACACGCCTCCAGCTTCCCCCATTGAAGCCCCCCTGAGCTTGTTCGGAGAGCCGTTCCTGAGGTCCCCGGCTGCCGTGTTTGTTGTACTTTTGCTGTGAAAACCTGAGCGCCACAGAACGCCGCAACTGATGCTGTCCTTCTTTTCAGCTCCCTTCGCACCCGCGATGATTGTCGTCTGATTCGACAGGGCTGTTGTAGTGGTGGGGGGGTTGGGCTCTCCTGGCTGGCTGACCTAGACGTTGTTGTGTTCCCACCCGTTGGGATTCCAGGTTGCCCTGCATGCATGCATCGTACCCTAGAGCGGCACTTACATGCTGGGCAGAGTAGCATTTGTTGCATGTGCCGTGTTACCTGCAGAGCGGTACGTGCAGGTGACTTCTCTTGCAACCAGACGTCTGCCGGCAAGCAAAGTGCATCTGACAGCAGCCCGCCTCTGGGTGCATCATTTTACACTGGCAGGATCTGGCACAAGCCTCGGCTGGAACATGAGCGTGAAGGCTGCTGCTCAGCTTCCGTGCCTCTCTGGCCGACGCCAGCTGTGCACCGCTAACCTAGAATAGAGTGACGACCGTTGAATCGTGCTACGTGATGGCCCTGCCAGATCAATGTCTGTCAATCGTATCATTGCGATTTGATGTCATTTGCTCTGTTGTACAAAGTCAAGCATGTACCTCGTTCTAATTCTGGAAAATGGTACCTACCTTAGGGCGTGGGAAGTTCGTGGGCTGTGGTTACCTCAACACGCTCTTGCCTCCAATTGACAGAAGCCCCAGCTCCTGCCTCCAAGCAGCCCAGGGTTTATCCTGCAGAATCATGGTTCACCGCCCGCATCCTCACCAAAGCAAGAGCAAAACCTGTTGACAAACAATCAGTCGAATCATGCTCATACAGTACAAACCGCTCCTCGGAGGAGTCCGCAACATCTTCCAGGGTAACTGACTCTTCGTCACGGTACTTGATACACATGCTTGTCATCCTCTCGCTGCGCTTCGGCTCAGGCCACGATCGTTCCGAAGACCCCTATGCCGGCAATAAGGAGAAAGTGCCGCTCGCCAGTTTGCCTGGTCGGCTTTCTCCGAATACATGTATCTGCGTCCGAGTAAGGAGACTGCAGAGAATGCATACGTGTACTGACAAAAGGAGGCCCATTCCAGGGTTCTGCCCGTGATAAGCATACGATACATGTATGCCCAGGCAAGCAAGGCAAAAAAGCAAAAAAAGGCTTCGCCGGTGTCCATCATCATGCAGTCCCTGATCGACCATGATGCGAGCGTCGCATCATCCTCAAGACAGGGTAATCCAAGGCAATTCAAGGCCTGGTGTGGATACGACGCAACTTGGGTTTGCTCGTGCAGCCCCTTGCCACGGTATCAAGCAGCAGCATGGCAGCTCGAGGGGCTGCACAAGGCCGCGTTTGGAATATGAAGCATGGCGATATGCATGTGCCAGTGGCACAGCGTTTGTTTGTCTCCCAGCCCAGAGCCCGCCGTCACGACTCCATACTGTGCCACGTCAAGGCGGATATGACCGTCCATCGCCTATCTGGTGATAGTCTCGGAGATTCTAGACTACTCGGCCCGCGCCTGTAGGAAACCGTCCCAGGGATCTGGATGTTGCTAGCTGAATGTAACGGAATCGAAGGCCCGTTAGCAATCTGGCCGCGCCGAGCTGTCCAGCAGCAAATCCGTCTCTTGCTGCGCCTGATATAGCGACGCGGAGCGAGTGGTAACACCAACCGCAGGCAGGCCAGCGAAATCGACCACCCGAGATTCTCCTACCTCTTCAACACTTCTTGCGAGGGAAAACAATCTGGACTGCATTTACCAGGTTTCGGGTACCGGATGGCTTTGTGCAGTCTTCCTCAGCCTCCCGAGCGAGGCGAAGAGGCTTGCGAAGCAGACAAACATACATGTACTGTACTGTACAGCTGCAGTCTCCTTCAGGTATCCGCGTTTGCCCTGTCGGTCGCCCCAATGCCTGACCAGCTGCATAGAAACCATTCTCGAAGCTATGCGACGGCCCTGTATGCCTTGTGCCTGCACACCCAGTCGCAGAAAGACGTACAAAGTGATTTGTACGAAGCATACGCAGGAGAACAACCTTTTTTTCCAGAATCAGGACGGAATGCTCATACAGATCGCTTGCTGCTGGGTGCAACGTGCCCTTGCTGGAATGCCACGGTCCACAGCAGAGCTTCTTCCAAGCTTCTCCCTCTTTTCCAGGAGTACGATACGGGGCACCAAACCCGCATTTCAGGCAGCGGCCAGAAGGCAAACGGCAGGGCTGGCTTCGGCAGTACTCTGCAGCGGCAGCCAGGGTCCTCTCCCCCTGATGTTACTAGTATGCGTCCTCTGTCCTGTGCCTGCGGAAGCCTTCTAGAAGATGGACGCCTTTCCGAGATTGGCATTCCCCACAGTCTCCGTTCATTCTCGAAACATGGAACAAAGGGGACTTGTCGACAGTGCGAATTTTGCTCGGCCGCTTGTATGAGGCTCTTGGTGAGCTTGGTGAGGCACAAGGGTCCCATGACTTGTCGTCGTCGACGGAACCAGGGGGGAAAGCAAAAGGGCTTACAGATTACTCTGTACGGAGTACACACATCGGCGATCGGTCCGTTCCACTCAAGACTTCGGCCAACTGTCGCCTTTCTGCCGTCCGCACGGAAGGCAGAAGAATCCCGGCACGGCTCTACTCTTGACACGTACTGGAGCACAATTCAGAGGCCGGAACCTATCCGTTGATGCCATGGGTAGGCCCCGTCAGGGAAGAGGCCGGGCAATGAGACGACGGCAATATGACTTGGAGCAGGCACAGAGAGGGTTTCGTCTATTGACAAGAAAGACAAAGAGCAAAATTCATCAAACACTCTCTCAGCGCCTAGCGCCTTACCTGCTCTACAGCCGCGGCATAGCATGCATGTGATTGCATATACCGATCACAGAGTCGAGCTTCACGCGCACGACGACACAATGTCGCCGCACCAGCCTGGCAGAGAGCATCGAGTGCCATTACGGAGTGCTACTCTGCTCCAACAGGTCTCTACAGGCATCCGCAAATACCTTTGGTGTGGGTGGACAGACCTTGACAGGGACTTTGGTCTGGACGGTTTGGGACGTTGCGTGTACCATCCGATATCCAACTGAGAGGAGTTGTAGGGACAGATCCTGGTCTCGGCGAATCGTACAACGGCACCCTTGGTGCCGTGCTTTCTTCAAGCTTCCAGCAAAAGCTTCCATAGCGGCGGCATAACAGCCCAGACGCACGTCCGCTCTGCTCACGTACCATGTTCATGCCGACTCGCAAATACATCCATGCCCAGGAGACTCGCGCCATACTGGAGGTTGCGAGTGCTGAACGATGAGAATCCCCGGTATGCCCCGTGTTTGTGATCCGCCAGGTGGATTTGGAAATAGCCACGCCTGGCAGAATCTTGAGCGGACTCTCGGCTGTACCCTGTCAGACGTTTCCGCATATTCGACCCTTGTACCCAACAATACTCGCAAGGCGATAATGGAGTAGCATCGTCGATTCGTGCAGCATTCGCCCGATGACCACCATGAGCGCCTACTTGGTGCAATTTGAGAGGAAGCAACAAGAAACACACAGATCATTGCTAATACAAGCTTGAATAAACGGCGCAGCCTGGCCGTGGATCCCTGCTCCGGATGCCCTTCCGCCGGTGAGATGAGGGCAAGCAAGCAAGGCCTGTGGTTGGTTACCAAGTTTTGGAAATAGCAGCGGAATGCCTAGCCCAGCCGTCATCAAATGAAACAATCGCGAGAATCACCCAAGATTGCTGCTAGCGGTTAGGGCAAGATTGCGACCAATCTCGACGAGTCGTATTCGTACAGCATATACTTGCACAACAACGAATGTCATCCATTTGCATCAATCGTCTTTCTCGATGAGTCGCGAGTCAGCAACATCATGGAGAAGGGACGGACCGGCATTGATTCTGTTGCTGTCAAGCACGGGGCAGCAACAGGAGTACGGAGCACGGCAACGCGTCAGGCTGCATGCCAAACGGTCTCGCCGCGTTCGCCTCGCCGCATCTTGAGCTGAGAGATGGAGCCGGAGAAATGCGGCGTCTGAACCCTTGGTTTCTTCCCCGTTTCCGCTTCGCTGTGGGTTTGAGATTCATGCATGCCCTGGCGACCCAAGTGCCTGCTCCGTACTCGTACGAACACGAGCATGCCTCTGCTGTTTATTACGGGCGATGCCGCCAAGGGCAGCCGGCAGCAAGAGCCGCGCTGTGAAAGTGGCCGTTTCAAAACCGACAGAGCGCGATTCGAGGCAGCGGCAGCTAATTGGCATTCAGGCACAACTACTGCTGCATCTGGTAAAAGCCACCAAGCCAGTGCCACGTTTCTCCCCCTTCCCCGGGACCCATGTCTCCAATGTTTCTTCATCAGGGACGGGATGGATTACGCCACAGAAACGGCGTGACTGTGCGGGTCCATGGTTGCTCATTCAACGTTGACGGACTCGATACAAGGTGAACAATCACCTGAGTGTTGGCATGTCAAACAGACCACAAGGTCCGTTTGATATTGTGCAGGCAATCTCTCTTATTGCGTCTCCGGCGCGCTGGATCCAGACAATCTCCCTCGGTTACTGAGTGCCAAGTGCGTTTGACCTGGAGACTGGGGTCCGCCAAATCCATCAGGGCGGGTTTCTACGATTCCGCTAGGGTCATTGGCGCCGGGGAGCGCTTCCGCCTGGGATTCTTCCCCTGGGCCACCGAATCTCCAGCTGTCTGATGGAAAAGGCGAGGAAGAAGGAAAGAAAGAAGAAGCGAAAGGATTGAGTCCCCCGCCCGACCCAGCAGCCAGGACGGCGGACGGCGGCTCGCCAGCGCGCGGCGGAGCTCGCTGATAACCGTCGGCCGTAACAGCCCCGTGCAAGCCCCGTGCCAGCAGGGGGCATTCGAATGAGCCCGTTTCGCTTAGGCGGGCATGAATATGGTAGTAGTAGTAGTAGTAGTAGAAGACGGATCAGTCTCTGCCTTCTAGAAGCCCCCTTTGGTCACCTGTCACGATCTGTATCGGGGGAGCCAGGCAGTGAGGGCCGGAGGCATACTGGAGACGCTGCTTCCGCCGTGGTCATGTGCTGGCCCGTAAATGAGTTGGACTATTGCTTTTGCAGAACGGCCCGCGTATGGCGTTCAATCTCGGCATTCGAGAACGTGTTCTGAAGTTCTCGAGGGGAGTAGCGCTATGCGATGGATGCAAGGGTGGCTTCGTGTGACTTTTTCACGTTCGTCCTACTTGCACATGCACTACAGAGTACATACAACGGCTATCGGCGAACTTGAGGAATGCTGTATATCCAATGTTCATGGGCACAGGGATAGCCTTGGAATCCCCAGCGACCCTGAGAGTGATTCACCTTGTGGAAGAGGAAGAGAGAGCCACAGTCTTTGGAACACGCCACGTCACATGGTAGGGTCATGTCATGGTGTGACCCTCGGTGCCGCCGCCAACGGTCGAGGCAGGCCGGCTCCGAGACATTCACCTCCGGTGAGTATACCATTGGGGGGCGCTTTGTGGTCGCTGAGGGCGTCAATGTGATGCCACTGAGGCCAACTATGGTGAGAAGTTGGCAGCTCGTTTCAAGGTGACGGGGGTTAGATGGTTCGTTTGATAGGTGAGATGTCAGTTGTGGCGGGCAGGTTTTGGCGACATTCGATAGTCTTGGCGTCGTTTTTGGTTCGGAGCTGAGGGAGTGGCGATATGGATCGGTTGAGCACTCCGTATGGGTACGGTTGTGTCTTGTCTGAATGGAAGGAATCCCCGTTCCCTGTCAGGCTGGTGTTGCTGAAGGCATATAGTTGGCAGAAGCTGGAGACTTGTGATGATGACTCGAGGGAGCTGGGCAAACCCTGCCTGGCTTGTGAGGCTATAGATGTATTATGGTTGTTGGAGGGCGACGACGGTATGAATCAGCAGAATATACCAAGCACTTATCATGCGAGGGAGTTTACAACATGGGATATGGTAGCATAAGGGTCCATGTATGGAAACTCCTCATGACTGTGGATGATATGAGTCTCTGCCACGAGCCCGCGGCACGCCGTGGATCTTGGTGTAAGAACACGGAGATGGCAGATAAGTGTATTTCGCACCCAATATTGGGGAACTTTGTATTGCAAATCGGGGACATGAGAGACTGGGACTTGCCGACGTCAACCGGTATGTTATGTCGCTTCAAAGGATCTTCATGTGTAGAATGGTGTATCATTGGGCTCGGCTGTGTGGGCGGACAAGATGCCGATATCTGGACTGAAGACAGTAAACTTGACTGTGTAGAGACATGGAGATGCGGGAATATAACTGAGTGTTTTCTCTCGGTTGTTTGTCTCTGTGGAAGCTGTCCCTGGGGATAACCGAGAAGGCATTTTTGTCGTTGAACTTGTAGACCCGAGACGCTGTTTGTATAATCTCGATAGGAGGGTCCGCGGACGTCAATGGCAGGAAGCTCAATTCTCTACTAGGCAGCGTAAGATGATAGAATTTGGGGTGTTTAATTGTGACAAAAGATGGGCAGACATGTATGGACGGTGTACTCCGTATGTGTGTTTCGTTGAGTGATGGGAATTGGAGTCTCAGTCTCCAGGGTAAGTTTTTGAATGAGACTGAAGCTTGCCAAATGTGTGAAGAAGCGTTGGAAGACACAGGTCAAAGCGCTGCATTTGGTGTTCTGGCAATCAATGTGGTTGATTTGCTCAGCTTTCCCTACGATTTCCGGCCTGGGTGATTGACCTCCGGTATTGGCTCTTTTTGGCCTACACGTTTGGAGTTGAGGTTATCCTCACTGGACGTGTCACCACTTACCATCTACCTTGCAGTAACCTTGCAGATGTGCCTACTGCAAAGCAAGCATGAATAACCTCCCCTGTTCCCATGGCAAGATGCTCAAAAGAAAGACGACAACTAAAGGCTTCCATCACACAATTGACCACCACGAAAGCTGCCATTGTCATGTTGATTCCAACTCAACGCTGATATCGTCCCTGAGCATTTGTTTGACAGGTACAAAGAGACGCACCACCATCGCAGTGCGCCCCCAAGTATCCGCTAACGTCCCCGACTCGGGCAATCCTCCCCCCACAAGCCCCTCCGTGACGCAGCATCGGGAAGCTCCAACTTGACCCAAAGCTTCCAACCTCGCTCTCTCTCTTCCTCTCCCCTAACCATCTCTCCTCCGCCGACTCCCGATCACGCCAATCCTCACCCTCTCCTCCTCCAGAACCGCCCTGGAAAACGAAAAACCAAACGAACCCTTCTCCACCCCTACGAATACAGGCCAGATAAACGATATAGCCCAGCATGTCCATCATCCAGCACCACACCGCCGCCTCCCTCAGCGACGCCTGGCGCACCGTCAACATCGACATCCTGACCGAGGACTCGAGCGTAAACTTCGACACGTCGACGCTGCGCCCGCCGCAGCCCGAGATCGCCGAGGCCGACGTGCGCGCGCTGGCCTCGCAGGTGCGGCAGCTGCTGAGGGGGGGCGACGCCGAGGGCGCGCTGAGGGGGTGTCTCGAGACGCCCGTGTACAACGGGACGGATGCTGCAAAGGTTCGTCTTTCGGCCTCTTACAAGTCTACTCCTTTTGGCTTGTTGTGTTTGTTGGGAGGAACGGGTGTGATGGTTGCTGACGGTTGGTTTTTGTTGATATAGGAGGCGCATTTGCAGACCATTATTGAGGTGCTGCAGTCTATCAAGGCGAGCGATATGACGCCCCTGCTCAAGGGCATCTACGCGGCCCCCGGCACACACACGCGCACACACACACGCTGACACGATTCCCGCGCCCCCAGCTACAAGGGAATGGCCAGCGGAGCCCCCGCCTCCGCCGTCTCCGCCGGGCTCAAGTCCCCGGCCAAGATGACGCCCCAGTCCACCGGCTTCAGCCAGATCGGCTCACGGCCCGGCGTGTCCAACGAGCCCGCGTCGGCGGCCATGAGCGTGCTGCTGAGCTGGCATGAGAAGCTGGTGGAGGTTGCCGGGCTGGGATGCATTGGCCGGACGATGACGGACTGGCGGAGGGTATGATGGGTGTTTTCTTTGGTGGAAGTGCATGGGGACGCATGGGGAGAGGAAGCGATGTATAGAAAGGAGGGGTGTTGGAGTTTGCTTTACTTTTCAATGAATCAATGACTACCAAAAGGTTTCGGTTGTACATGGCTATTCGATGGCCGGTCGAATGATTTATAATGACCCTATCAAAAGAGTGTACAGATTCCGCCTTTTATACATGTGGGCTACCTGATATATATGCAACTCTTTATTTAGTCTCCAATATATCTTTGAGACTCGTCTGTCCGCTCCCTCTAGCCAGAGGCTTCGGCTGGTTCTCGCCCTCACGCCAGCCAATCATGTATATGATCCGAAAGGTAGCAGGAATCGACCCGTCCGGGTTGCCGTGCAAGGCCCGGTAGATGGCGTCACCAGCAACCAGGACATCCCTCCTGATGGGCCCCATCTCGCGGTTCAGGATGGCATTGCTCTCGCCCATGGCCTGCAGGTCCTGCATCAGGGCGAACATGTCAGGGTAGTCGACGATGATGTCGTCAACGTCCACCGTCAGCATCTTGAAGCCGGCCTTTTGCAGCAGGCCGCCCACGTCGCGCACGTCGGCCAGCGGCGACACGTGGGGGGACATGCCGCCTCTGCGCTCGAGCTCGGCCAGCTGCAGCGACGTGCGCAGCTCGAACAGGGTGTCGCCGCCGAGCATTGCGCCGATGAAGGGGCTGTCCGGCTTGAGGATGTTGTTGATCTGGGCCAGGACGCCGGGGAGGTCGTTGATCCAGTGCAGGCTCAGAGAGCTCAGCACGAGGTCGAAGGACTCGGGCTCAAAGGAGACGGTCTCCTCGTCGTCCACCACCTGGCGGGTGATGTTGAGCTTGTGGTTGAATTCGTGGCCGGCATCGCGGTACAGCCTGGTCTCGGAGGAGTCGGTTGCGATGAGCTCGCCGATGCGAGACGACAGCGGCGGCGACGTGGGAGTGTTTGGGTCGGGATCGGGATTGTCGCGCGTCAGGGCTTTTGCGACGTTGCACGAGTTGGCGCCGAGATCGAGAGCCTTGGGGAAGTGCCGGTTGATGTCCTGTCGAATAATCGTGAGAAATGAAGCTTCTGATATGGAGGGGAGCTGAGTGTATGACGTACCAACAGCCTCTCCGTGAGCCTGACGGCCACCTCGTCCTTGAGATAGTCCGCCTGACGGCTCTCGTCAGCATTGGACGCCGCGCGCTCCTTCTGGAGCCATTTCGTCCGCCGATTGAACACTTGGAACCGAGTGGCCCCGGAGGCGACGGCGTAGCAGCGGCGAGGGGCAGCTGGGAGCTGGGAGCTCTTGAGAGGGGCCAGCCTTGCGAGGCTGCTTGCCCAGCTCACGATGGAAGACGAGCGCGCGCACGTGGACATGACATGCTCGGGCTCGTCTGCAGGGGCCGGTTGTAGAGGCGAGGCTGAGGTGGTTGATCACGTCGAGACAATGATGCCAACCACGAGCATCATTGTAGTATGTAGAGCAGAAGTGATATTGTGATGTCGAGTATCCGTAAATGGTCGGAGATCCAATGGCAATCAAATCTCTTGGAGGGCTTCGGCGCGCACAGGCCACCCGCCACAGGGCACAAGCACCTGCTGCCGCGCGCTGGCGGGTGAAGAGTTAGCGGCCACGCCCGCTATAGTAGTTGTAGAGGCTCCAGCCGGGGCACCTGCAATTGGGTCCCGCCGCCCATTGATCTCCTGGCAGCAGCTCCTCCGAGCCGCCCGCGAGACGCGACTCTCAACCTCGCAAATCACGACCCAACGGCGGCTTCACGCATCGGCTGGACGCTGTTTTCACTCCTTTCTGGCGCACTCGGCTTGTGAGAGACGCTTTGACGGCATCGGTTTGTGCTTCTCGCCGTTTTTTGGCGTCTCGTTTCGCAGCCTGCTTTGTCCCGTGATACCCGCCGACGTCTTTTCGAACAAGACGGACGGATTACATATCCAGCCCTGAAGCCTTCGCCAACGCCTCGATTGTCGCCGCATAACCCAGACCTCCGCAAACGAAGCCGCCCGACTATGCGATCCCCCCGATAAGGCGATTATTGTTTGGCTTCGCCCACGTCAAGGATTGAATTACTGCGACAGCTGCTCCTGCGACTCGTCCACACCCCCCATCGATTGACGAGCTCAAATAACAAACGGCCCGAGGAAATAGGGGGGCGCCGGCTGGATCACCGAGGAAGAAGCAAAACCGCAACACCAGACAGCGCCACGATGTCGTCGTCCGGATCAGGCTGGATCGGCCGCTCCAGCAGCAACAATGCCAACATGCGCGGCCTGGTGCAGTTCATCGCCGACCTGCGCAACGCGCGCGCCCGCGAGCTGGAGGAGAAGCGCATCAACAAGGAGCTGGCCAACATCCGCCAAAAGTTCAAGGACGGCAACCTCAGCGGCTACCACAAGAAGAAATACGTCTGCAAGCTGCTGTACATTTACATCCTGGGCTGGAACGTCGACTTTGGCCACCTCGAGGCCGTCAACCTCATCTCCGCCAGCAAGTACTCGGAGAAGCAGATTGGCTACCTGGCCATGACGCTGTTCCTGCACGAGAAGCACGAGCTGCTGCACCTCGTCGTCAACAGCATCCGCAAGGACCTGCTCGACCACAACGAGCTCTTCAACTGCCTCGCCCTGCACGCCATTGCCAACGTCGGAGGTCGCGAGATGGGAGAGGCTCTGAGCGGAGAGGTGCACCGGTTGCTCATCTCGCCGTAAGTCCCAGCCCACACTTACACATGCCTTACTTCACCCAGTGTGGAAGTTGTGTGTGTGCTGACCGCTTCCATGCATCCCAGGACTTCCAAATCGTTCGTCAAGAAAAAGGCCGCCCTCACCTTGCTGCGCCTGTACCGAAAGCACCGGGACATTGTCCAGCCCCAGTGGGCCGAGCGCATCATCCACCTCATGGACGACGACGACCTGGGCGTTGCGCTGTCCATCACCTCTCTCGTCATGACGCTGGCTCAGGACGACCTGGAGCAGTACAAGGGCGCCTATGCCAAAGCGGCGGCAAAGCTGAAGCGCATCCTGATTGACGGCGAGTACACCACCGACTACCTGTACTACAAGGTCCCATGCCCTTGGCTCCAGGTCAAGCTTCTGCGGCTGCTGCAATACTTTCCTCCGTCAGGTGCGTGCAATGGATTTGGTCCCTTTGTCAGTACACGACTTGGTGCTAATTGCTGTATAGAGGACACGCACGTGCGCGAGCTCATTCGCGAGTCTCTGCAAAAGATCCTCAACCTCGCCATGGAGTCGAGCAAGAACGTGCAGCAGAACAACGCCCAAAACGCGGTGCTCTTCGAGGCCATCAATCTCATCATCCACCTGGACACGGAGCAGGACCTGATGAAGCAGATCTCGTCTCGCCTCGGCCGCTTCATCCAGAGCAGGGAGACCAACGTTCGATACCTGGGCCTCGAGGCCATGACGCACCTGGCCGCACGATCCGAAAACCTCATCCCGATCAAGCAGCACCAGGACATCATCCTCAGCTCTCTCAAGGACCGTGACATTAGCGTTCGCCGAAAGGGTCTCGACCTCCTCTACAGCATGTGCGACTCCTCGAATGCGCAGGTCGTGGTGGGCGAGCTCCTGCACTTCCTACAGAACGCAGACTTTGCCATTCGTGAGGAGATGGTCCTTAAGATTGCCATTCTTACGGAAAAGTACGCCACCGACGTGCAGTGGTACGTCGACATCTCCTTGCGGCTGATCGCTATGGCCGGCGACCATGTCAGCGACGAGGTGTGGCAGCGGGTGATTCAGATTGTCACCAACAACGAGGAGCTCCAGGTCTATGCCGCCCAGACGGCCCTTCAGCACATCAGGGCCGACATCTGCCACGAGACGCTGGTCAAGATTGGCGCCTACATCCTCGGCGAGTTTGGCCATCTCATTGCCGACCAGCAGCGGTGCAGCCCCATTGAGCAGTTCCTGGCGCTGCAGAAGAAGCTGTCGGGATGTTCGTCGAGCACGCGCGCCATGATCCTGTCCTGCTTCATCAAATTCGTCAACCTGTTCCCCGAGATCAAGCCACAGCTCGTCCACGTCTTCCAAGTCTACAGCCACACCCTGGATTCGGAACTGCAGCAGAGAGCCTGCGAGTACCTCACCTTGGCGACGATGCCGACGGATGACCTGCTCCGGACAATGTGCGACGAGATGCCGCCCTTCCCCGAGCGAGAATCGGCGCTGCTGTCTCGCCTGCACCAGAAGCATGCCGGCACGAGCGACCGGAGGACGTGGGTTGTCGGCGGCAAGTCGGCCAACACCGAGGCGGAGCTCAACATGGCCAAGCCCGGCGGCCTGAAGAGGACATTTAGTTCTGCTGTTCCGCTCAACGGGAACAAGGCCAACGGTGCCAACGGAGCTCATACGAACGGCGCCTCTGACCTTGCCGGCCTGGACTTGTCGGCGACCGAGCAAAAGCCGACAAAGGTACCCAACCTCGCCAGCGCGGCTCATCTGTCACCCGGGTGGGAGAAGGGCTTCAACAGGCTCCTGCTCAAGGCCGAGGGAGTCTTGTACGAGGATGCGCAGCTGCAGATTGGCGTCCGGTCCGAGTACCGTGGCCAGATGGCCTGCCTCATTGCGTATTTTCGCAACAAGAATCCCGGAACCATTACATCCTTCACCACGACGCTAGACCTGGACGAGAGCGAAAAAGGGAAGCTCTCCTGGGACGTCAAGGGTCTTCCGGAGAGCACGCTCGGCCAGGGGTCGCAGACACAGCAGGTCATCATGTTCGAGGCTAAGAAGGTGTTTGAGAAGAGCCCGACGATGCGAGTCAGCTACCTGGCCGGTGCGCTGCAGGCACTCACGCTGAAGCTGCCCGTGACCATTCACAAGTTCATGGACCCGGCCGAGCTTTCTGCCGAGGACTTTTTCAAGCGGTGGAAGCAGATTGGCGGCGGTTCCCGCGAAGCGCAGGGAATCTTTGGTCTCAGCGGTGGCAAGAACGGCGCCAGAGAGCTCAACGAGAAGTTTGTGCTGTCGACGGTCGAGGGCTTCCGATGGCGTGTCCTCGACATGGTCGACCCCAACCCTAAGAACGTTGTCGGCGCCAGCGTGCTTCACACCTCGGAGGGCGGCAAGTTTGGCTGCCTCATGCGACTGGAGCCCAATTATGCTACTCAGGTGAGTTTTCTTCTTCATTCCTTCACATATCATCCCATCCTAGACTTCCTTCCACATGATGTCTTTGCAAAAATCAAAGTATTTGCTACTTCAGAACCTCCGGGTCATGAGACAAAATTTATTCACCTTTTGCCCTGATTGTCCATTGTCATTGTCTTTCACAAGTCGAAGCCGTTCTGTCACGGAGAGGCCGCTGACACGATGTTTCCAGATGATCCGACTTACGATCCGAGCCACGGACGAGTCGGTGCCCCAGGTTCTGCTGAAGCTCATGCAGGAGCGGCTCGCCCTTGGAGTGTCGACGCTCCCCGAGAGACACGAGCCGCCCACACGACAAGACATTTCCGACGCCTTTGGGAGTGTAATGGTTAACTAACTATGATTACCTTATTCTTATTATTTTATTTCCCCCCACAAAAAGCAACCATGGGGTTTGCTTCATCTTATTTATCTTGGACATATGTGACACAAACTATTACACGACTGACTTACTCGGACATGTCTTGGCACCGCATGGGAAGCATATTGGCGTTTTATTTCGGGAGAAGAAGTATGATGGATGATGGCCCAAGTGCCCTTGGACGAGGACCTCTTTGGGAGGAGGGTCTGGTTGAAGCAGGGATGAGCCAGGGAGAGGATGATGGCAAGTTTCTTGTTCTTTGTATGTAGTTTAGTCTTTTTTTTTTTTTTTTTTTGCGCCTCCTATGAAAGCGGCTGCCTTTCTCCTTATTTTAACCCACTTTTTATATTTATATGAGCCAACTGGAAGCTGTGAAGATAATGGATGGTCATGCATGCGGACTTTGTTGTTGATACATGCTCTCTCTTTCATCTCTTCTCGTCCATTTACACGCCATATACGTGTGTATGTGTTTATATGCTTGTTGAACCCTCTCAGAGTCCAACCATGAGTCACATGGGGACGCTTGATGATATTTGCTACGTAGCAAACCCCTCCCTTGGCCCGGGTGTCACACTCCGTATATACTACAAAGATCCCTTCCCCCCCCTTCTCTCACGAAGATCCCCTACTCCTTAATCTTTGCATCCGCCTTCGCCGGCCTCTGCCCGAAAATCGTGCTCCCCACCCTGACCTCGGTGCTCCCCTGCGCAATGGCCCCCTCAAAGTCCTCGCTCATGCCCATGCTCAGCTCGAGCTCATCAGCGTTCAGCCCGAGCTCCTTGGCGACCAGATCGCGCTGCTGCCTCAGCGTCTCAAAGTCCTCGTTCTGGTTCTCCGGCGTCGTGGCCTTGCTGCGCGCAATCGCCCCAATGGTCATGAGCCCCAGCAGCTTGAGCCCAGGACACTTGTCCACAATCTCGCGACACAGGTCCACCGTCTCCCGGCCGGGCTCGCACCCGCTCTTGGACTCCTCGCCCGAGGTGTTGACCTGCACGTGCACGCCGAGCTTGTCGACTTGCTGCTGCGGATCGGAGGCGATGGCGGCGACGCGCGCGTTGCTGAGCAGCTGGGCCTTTTTCGGGGAGTCGACGCTGGAGACGCAGAAGAGGTTGGGGATGCGGGCGAGGTGCTTGCAGTGGGTGGACTGCAGGCCGCCGATGAAGTGCCAGCGGATGGAGGGCGGGAGGAGGGCCGCCTTTTGGGAGAGCTCCTGGGCGTAGTTTTCGCCAAAGTGGACGTGGGAGGCTGGGGGGTTGTGGAGGGCGAGGATGTCGTTGGCTGGCTTTAGCTTGGAGACGGCGACGAGGCGGACCTTTTTTTTCATATTGAGTCAGCTGGAGGTTTATATACCGAGGGGGGAAGAGAGAGATGAGAGGGAATGTTTGATTTGTCTTTTGGGGGGCAATCGGTGTTCATGGTGATGATGGGGATTCTTAAGTGCTTACTGGACGGCCGTGAGCCGCTGCTGCAATGGTTTGCTTGACGGCGTTGAGCTGGGATATGAGAGCTTGGGCTCTAGTGGGGTCGATGCGCATTTCTTCGGTGGTTCCGTCACTCATTTCTACAGATGCATGGGGTATATGGATGAGATGAGATGAGATGAGATGAGATGAGAGGAGAAAAAGAAGACAAGTTGAAGTGAGTGAGTGAGTCAAAACGAGGTGAAGCTTATCGGGTAAGTGAAATTGTTAGTTGAAGGTTTGGAGGGTGGTGGAGATTGATTGGATGGAAGAAGCTGGAAAGGATTGAATTGGGCGAATGAGGGAGGAGGAGACGTTGAAGTCGGGTTATTGTCGGCTGTACATTGGGTGCCGTGTACTGGTACATACCTACCATACCTTAGGCATGTATGGCGATGGCCTCACTCTCACTTGGACAATCAACACAAAGGCAAGCTGTTCTTTTATAGACGATTTATTCACAACTCCGTGTTCTTTTACTTAAAAGCTCACTTGATTCTCATACTCTTAGAGCTCCTCACTGTTCACCCCTGTTACTTCTTCATCATAATCCGCAATGGCCACCGACGTCAAGCAAGACAAAACCCTCCCCCATCAGCCCAAATCCCACCACACATCAGACCCTTTCCTCCAGCCCTTCCTCAGCCCATCCTTCGACCCAACCGCCTACCTCAACACCAGCCTGCCGCCCCTCGCCACCAAGTCCCCAACGCCCTCCAACCACAACAACGCCGTGCCGCTGTCCGACCTCGCCGCGCAGGCGCAGACGCTGCTGTCGCAGCTCGACGCCCACACCACGCGGCTGTCGGACACGCTGACGCGCATCACCGATGACATCCTCCGCAGCGGGGGCCGGATGTCGTACGAGGTCGAGATGCTGCGGGGCGAGGCGCTGAGCCTGGAGGAGCTGCTGTTTGAGAAGCTGGCGGGGCAGATTGGCATGTTTGTGCCGGGGGGCCTGCAGAAGGAGGGCGAGGCGAAGACGGAGCAAGAAGGAGAAGAGAAGAGGCTGAAAGAGATGGGGAAGCCTGCGGAGGAAGGGGAAGCAAAGACGGTCGCGAAACCCGAGGGCCAAGCGGCGGATGGTGCAGAGGAGCCCGAGTCTATCAAGCAGTTGCGGACGCTCACGCTCGTCCGGGAGCGACTCGACTCCGTCATCAAGATATTCGGCGACGCCATGGAGTTCGGCTTCCCCCCATCAGAAGTCTCGGTCAGCTCCGGCTTCCTGTCCGTATCCGCGCCCGAGCCAGGGTCCGATCTGCAAAGCTCGGAGGAAAAGGGTCAACAGACGCTACAAAGGCTACGGGACGAGATCTCAGGCCTGCTGAACAACAAGCAAGACCCCGTCTCAGGCATTGAAAAGGCGGCGGAAAGGATTGAGCAGCTCAAGAACCTGGCGACGGTGTGGACGGGCACGGCGGAGGAAAGGGGCCGGACCAAGTTCATCGAGAGCCTGGCCAAGATGGTCGAGGACAGACACCGCGAGCTGCTCAAGGAGCTGGACTCGAAGAGGAGCGAGGCTACTGCTGCTACGGCGACGGCGACAGCGGCGACGACGAGCCAACAAGGACGCGGCGGCGGCGGCGGCGGCAGTGCTGCGAATGCGAGGGACGGTGCTGGAGAGACTCTGCCCGGCGGGTTTGGGCTGATGAGCCAGCTGCAGAAGCTTCGCGGTGGCTTGTGAGGAGAGGATGGCTCGAACTTTTGTTGCTGAGGCTTTGAAGCCTTGAATTCTACATCGTGGCTGAGGGGATGAGTGCATGTACATACATGGCATGGCGACAATTGCACTCTCAGCTGTTTCCAAGAACTACCCAATCATAACAGCATATTCCCTACAGCAATTGATATAAACATCAAGCTGAATCAGAATCCATGATTTCTATCCAAGCCACGAGTTGCTGGGTAAATGTATCGCCATACATACCAAGATCCTCCATGACGCCGCAAAAGGCAACCGCTGAAAGCCAAATCGCTTCCACATCGGGCATAGCGCCCATTAGACATGCGCCGGCTCTTGCGTTCCCTTGTTTTTCCCACTGGCAGATACAAGTACACGCATCGGCAGTGCTCAGTACAGAGTACCTCCGCGCACAGCAGAGAAATTGACAGATTTTGGGTACTCGACACTTGTCAACTGCAGCCTTGAACTTTCAGAGTTGCGGGAACCAATCGCAGGCCCCGTTTGCAACCACCGTCCAGATCTGGCGGGCGGTGAAGCTGCCCGAAATGGGGGTCAATGCAGGTTGTGCCTTTTTTTGCTGCTCTCTTTCTGTGCTGGTTCGGCTGCCCGAAAGAGAGAAAAAGATTTATGTATCAATCAAGCTGAGAAGAGCAGAGGCAGAGCGGCAGGATGATGACGGAGGGAGTTGGATGGGCGAGCACGGGCAGAAAAAGTGACAAAGTCGCGCAGCAGCCGCACGCAGAGGATGATGTACTTTTAAGCTCTTGCGCCTTGGCAGAAAAAGGGTAGAGCCGCTCAAAGGCGAATTCAAGGCCTCGTGAAGTTTATGGAAAGGCGCTTGAACTTGTTTGTTGAGAAGATGCAAATGTGGAATCCCGTGGTCTCTATTGGCTCTAGACTCTCTTCTACGGCTGCAACAAGCTTTCCCCTATCTATTCCCGTTTCCCGAGGTGAGAAGTTGAAGCTGAGGTGAAGCCAAAGTGAGGTGAAGCCAAAGTGAGCAGAAAAAATGGCGGCAGAAAACAGCGAACCCACACACCACTCACTAATACGACCCCCCCCGGACTTACATACATAATACAGCATCCATCTACCTACACCTTGGACGCAAGACCCTAGCCAGCCCTCTGCTCCGGAAAACCTCCAGAAGCAACACCACAAGGCGACGGAAACCTGCTGCTCTTGCAATCTGCTGCTTCTGCTGCTGGCGATTCATCACTTGAGCTGCTCGTTTTCTGCTCGGGCATTCCCGTCTTTCTGCTCGTCACAGCGTCCCCGTTCTGTTACGACGCCGAAAATCACAGCTCTTACTTAGCCGACGACGACCCGTTTCTGCCTCTCTTGCACTTCTTTGTCTCCCTCCCTCTCTCTTCCTCTCTCTCTCCCTTACTTGCACTCTCGCTTCCTCTCCATACCCTTGTTCAGCATCTCCCCTCCCGCATCCCGCACAATGGAGGCGAGCGAGGGAATCGCCTCCGCTGTGAGCGTCAAGATGGACCGCCCGTCGCCCGCCGCAGCAGCCTCGCAGTCCAAGCGTGACCGCAAGCGCCAGGTCCTCGTCGAGCGCCTGTCCACCATGTCCGACAAGATGCAGCGCGACCGGGACCTGACGTACCGCGACCAGCTGTCCAAGATCCAGTACGAGGTCGGCCTCGTCCAGCGCTTCGACCCCTACGCCGTCAACGCCCTCGAAAAGGCCGACGAGCTGCTGCGCGAGTACAGGCAGGCCCAGGGGCCGCCCGTCCTGGCCGAGGGCGCCCGCAGCCTCGTCGACATGGCGGGCATCCGCTTCCCCGAGTTCATGGACGAGGTCGAGGATCTCATTGAGGTCCGCGATTTCCAGCTGGTGCAGTCCAAGGTGAGTAGAACATTGTCATGATACGACAACGCACGTGCAGCCTGCCCAGGTAGAGCAAGAGGGAGCGACACCACACACACTCTCTCTCTGCTAGCCCGTCATCTCCAGCCCTCTCCCTCCCTTCTTCTCCCCCCCTTCTCTACTTCTTCTTCCTTGCACCATGGCACACCAATGCTAATTCTCCATGTCCCAATTTAGAACGAGTACGAACGCAAGGTCCAGGAATACAAAAACACGCACGCGTACAAGGTCGAGACGGCCAAGCGGGAGCACCGAGCCCTGACGGATACGCTCCGCGACCGGCTCATCAACAGCCTCACACAGAAGAAGAACCGGCTCAACCGCGAAAAGGAAGTGCTCGAGATCAACGACTCGAGCGCCCTGCTGCTCAACCCCAGCCAATTCAGCCTCACCAACCCCGCCAGCCCCGGCGGCGCCCACGGCAAGCGGGCGACTCGCCTGCGCAAGGATGCCGAGGACCTCCAGGTCTTCGCCGACGGCAAGAAGCGCAAGCGCAACCCGGGCGAGGACGACGGCTCGCCGGCGCCGTCGCGACGGGCCCTCGACCCCAACAGCACCACGCCCCTGTGGCAGTCGGAAAAGGCCCGCGCCGCCGCCAAGCAGAACGGCCCCGTGTACAGCATCGACAAGCTCTTCACGGACAAGGAGCTGTCGCTCCACTACAACTCGGCCGCCCTGGCCGCCCACCAGTACGTCCTGCGCAACCGCGTCAACGGCAGCGAGTCGCGCGACGGCAGCACCCCGAGCAACGGCGAGAGCGGCGACGCCGACAGGGACGACGCCGAGTCGCAGCCGTCGGCCGCGCCCATGATGGAGCGCCAGGTCTCGCACGCCACCCGCAGCACCAGGGGCGGCGCCAGCCAGAACTTCCTCGACGACAAGATCCTGGGCATCGAGGGCATCGCCAACTTTGAGCTGCCCGCCAACCTGGACCTGATGCACGCCCAGGAGCCGCCCAAGATGCCGCCCCCGGTGCCCCAGCAGTACCTCAAGCCGTACCCGCGGTCCTCGGACCAGAATTTCCCTGTGCCGCTGTCGCAGGACGACATCTCGTCCGACCTGTCCGTCATGAGCTTCTTCAAGCAGTACGACCAGACCCACAAGCCCGGCGCCCACCTCGATGCGCCCAGCGGCTTGCGCAAGGTGCTCGAGGCCGTGGCCGTGCCGTACCACCAGAGCCGCTACGTCGCCTTTACCAGCGCCGTCCGCGAGGACCCCGAGCACCTCCGCGACGTCCTCGGCATCCCACTGAGCAACCTGCGCGACCAGTCCAGCCCCGTGGTGATGAGTCGGCAGAACAGCGGGCAGGGCGGCGTCCCCATGAGCCGTCAGGGCACCACCGGTAGCGCCCGAGGCAAGGGTCGCCGGGGCTGAAGCATGAAGCCTGCATGAAGCCTCTTTGATTTTATTTTTTTATTTTTGGCGGTCGATTGATATGACCTGCACAAAGGTACTTGTCTTTGGCTTAGACGAGACAACCCAAAAGTCACTTTTTGAACACGGCACGCGGAAACGGGAATGAACGACCAAACAGAAACATGTGCATTTCACGGCATGGCGAGGCGACGGCTGGCGTCCAGGGGATCTCCTGTTTTACCATTTTGTCCTTTTATACATCGACCCTACTATATCCTGTTCGCTGGGTTGGAAAGGAGGAGAGCAGCTCTCTCCCTCTCTCTCTCCGCTTTCTCTTTTCAAACTCTCTCCTATCTAAAAGGGGCTCAGATCTTGTTGCCGACTTCAAGATTCCCCTCTCTTTATTTGTTGTTTCTGCTACTTCTCTTTGGTCTTGTGCGGCTTGTCAGTCCCACGAGGACTGCTCTGGGTTTGAAAGAGGAATGATATCCGATTTCCCATATCTTTTGTTTCTCTCCTGTTCTATCTCAAGGTTCCTCATTACATACACGATGATTCCTTGTTTTTCCAATACGTTTCGTTTCCTGACTTGTTATGGCCTTTCCTTTCGGTAGCAAAGGAGGTGGGATCGGGACAGTCTCTATGCAGTGATTAGACCGGTTGGGATTGAGGCGGTCTGAAGTACGGACTCTCCCTGGTTTTCTTTTGGCTGTCTCTTTCTGTTTCCTTTTTTCCTTTTCGGCTTTGTCCTTTTTGTTTATTGCTTTTCTCTGCTTTGCCTTTTGGTCGACAGGTGAATCTCATTCTCTGTTGATGGCAGACACTCAGGTATGAGGGTAGTTACGAAGGTAGAAACCAGGGGAAGACGAAGGCGAATGAAAGTCTTGTTATTAAATGTTTCGCAGTCTCATCCGATACGTGCAACGCTAAATTATATCCCACCCAAGCAAACCATCAAAATGACACCATCTACAGCCATGTTCAAAACAGATTCCCTTCTAAACCCTCTAGTTGCCAAAAACCAAGGCCCTCACCTCAATGCTCTCCCTCCCCTCGGCATCCTCCCTCGTCCTCGGGTCCTGGAAGGCAGTATGCGGCACCCTGCCCCCAATCTTGGACCCGGGCTTGAGCGACTCGCTATCAAAGCACTCAATCAACAACCTCTCGTCCCCCGTCATGCCGCTCGCGTAATACCACTTCTGGCCAGGGTTGTAGTTGATGGCCGCCGTCTCGCCAATGTACCCATCCGAGTAGCGGTGCGAGATGGGAATCACGTCCTTGTCCTCGAGCGTCGACGTCGACGCCACAGCGAGCGGGTTCGCCTCCACGGGGCCCTTGTTCAGCGGCCGCCACACGTTGACGATGCGGTAGCGCTTGGTCCGCAGCAGCTCGTCCGCCTCGTCGGGGAAGTAGCGCCGCACGCGCTTCTCGACGGAGGCGGCGGTCTGGTCGATGTGCACGCGCAGGACGGGGGCGCGCGGGGCGTCTGGGTCGGAGCGGCGGATGGTGTGGTCGAAGATGTAGATGCGCTCCGCGCCCGGGATCTGGTCGAGCAGCAGCTTCTCGACCTCGGGGTAGTAGAGTTTCTTGATGGACTCGTCGTCGACAAAGTCCTTTTCCTGCGAGGGCGGCACGTTCCGGACGAGCTGGAAGGCGTCGCGGTCGAGGGAAAAGTCCTGCTCGTGGCCGCGGATGTCGTGGATGACGACGTCGTGGAAGTCGTCGCCGTAGTTGCGGCGCGGGAGGTCGGCCGGGTGGTCGTCGCCGACGAGGTTGTAGGGCTGGGAGCCGTCGGCGGGGGCGGTGTAGTAGTTTAGGGTGGCGGTGACGTCGCCGCGGGGGACGCTGGAGATGACGGCCATGTTTTTGTTGTTTGCGAGATTCAAAACGGTGGTAGTGATGGTGGTTATGATGGTGTTTTTGGTGTATAAGTGGTGAAGAAGGTGTTTAGTGATACAGCTTGAGGGCTGAAGGCTGTATGTAAGTCGACAAGCAGTGATGATGTCAATGCGATTGGAATTCAAATGAAAAGAATCAACCCCCTCAGTTCTTTATATACTCTTATCATCACCCCCAAGCAGCCTCTCGATTTCAAATCCACCTCTCCAGGTTTCCCCCCCTCCTCAAGATCCCCCTCCAACAAGCCGCTGACCATGTCCGCCCTGGTTCTGCTTTGTCTGCAAGCACGCCACGCCCAAGCTCACCCATTCGCTGGGCGCCATTTGTAAGGCGCGCTGGCTTACTAAAGCCAGATGCCGAAAAGGAATAACCCAGATCTTGATGATGCCATAGAGACCACCACTTCGAAGCTTTCAAGTGCCGAATTTAGCCGCTTGGGGGAATCATTTGTTGTATATGTAAGCTGGCGGGGGGGAGAGACCGAAAAGACGGTGATTGGAAAGCGCTGCTTTGTATAGTGGGCTGTGCCTCGGGATCCGGGATCTGCTTGGAAAGATGAAGCCGCGGGAGATTTGATTAGTTTGGGAAATGTCTTCCTAGACTGTAAAATCGAGCTCGATGGGCAGGGCTTGGCAGGGTCTAGATCTGGGTTGTTTTGTAATGGATTCTGGAAGGATTCGGCACACCTTATTAGAAGTTGATGGAGTCTTCTGTCGTGGTTTTCCTCCCCCACGCTTTTATTGTTTCTCTTGTTTATTTCAACCGACTGAAGCCGAAGTTTGACTGGTGCTGTAAGGAAGCCAAAGCTCTTGACTTCATGGCCCATTGCCGTTACAGGAGATGCAGTAATTAATCAGCGAGATCCGAGCTGGGCTGGTTCATTCCAGGGCTGGTGTGCACTAGCAATACCTACCTTAAACAGAAAATCTCCCGTCTGGTTACATTTGCGTCATCGTCATGCTCGTAATCGATAAAGCCAACACACAGTACTCGTACAGCTTCTATTCAATGAGTATCCGTCCTTGCCTTCACGTCTGCGTCCATCTCGAATCACGCCTCATAAATCTCCAGACATCCGAACACCCAAGAAGAAAAGAACCCCAATCAGGCACAAGCCAAACAAAAAAGGAGAAGCACAGCTCCTCGTTCAAGAAAATCCGCGCCCTCCCATTGGCCGCGGCGGGCGGGATGATGTGCATGGCCCTTGGGACGGCTTCTCCAGCCGTCCTGCGGCCGTTGATTGGTCGCGCGGCACCAGTTATGCCAAAGGGGGCGGCTTGCACGCGTTCCTTCACCCACCTTGAGGAAATTGAAGGCCTGCAGGATTCGGATGCCGAGAGCAAAAGATTGCTGCTGCACGCTGACTGGACTGAGTACGCGAGATACCGACTAGTATTGATATGAGTTGTGGTTTTGCCCCCCCGTTTATTGCGGATAAGGTACTAATAGTGTTGAGGCGGGCTGAACCTATGGCAACGTGCGTAGGAAAGTGCTCGCACTTGGCTCACTATTCAGGGCTGATTCAAAGACAATAGGCCTAGTTCATTCGATTCATCCATCGACAATAGTACTAGCAGTTTGAGCAGGTTAGCAGTATACTGCGCGGCATCACATGTGCCAACTCATCCATACACTCATATCAACCCACATGCACCACGTATGCAGACGCAGACGCATGTGCATTAGGCATGCCTAGTCCCCGTGTTAGCCCTGGAGGTGCATAGTCCTTACCCGCCTCCATGTGGACAGAGTCCCTTGATGTGATAGAGCTAATGTACTGGGCGGATGACGGCCATCCCCAGCAATCACCTTACTCTAACTCCTAAAATGTCCGTACTTCTCGAAGAAGATAAACCGTACTGCCGAGTACTCGCTCGAACTCTCGAGTTACACGACAAGGCATCGCCCTCTCTGGCCCTCCAGCCGCCCCCGTCGCCAGCACCAGCCGGCACCAGCGCCATGTGCCGCAATGGATCCCGCGCACTGTCTGCCGCCCTGCCGGAGCCGCTGCACCAATGGATTCAGCCACTAGCCTGCTCTTGAGCCACGCTCCTCGCCTCGAAACGTCATGTTTGCTGCTTCAACCTCGACTCTGCTCAGCTCCTGATTCGAACCGCCCGATGCCCAGCGCAGCCGCCCGCCTCTCACCGAACGCTGCCTGAGCACTGACCGCCTCCGCTTGCCCTCAGCTGCCTCGCCGTGACTGGCGCTGATGCGTCGCTGCCGGGAAGCTGCACCATGCCATAGCGCCCTGCCCATCGTCAAGTAGCGACTGCGGGCGCGTCTCAACGAGAATCCGGAAGCTAGAAACGCGGAGCCAGGGAGAACGACAGGCATCGACGAGAAACAACAAGGACGAGAGACCGAGAGAGGACCGAGGAAAAGTGGGAGAGTGAGCGAGCGAGTGGGAGAGAGGCGCAGAGGCGTCGTGGCAGAGTCCAAACCCCCCCTCAAAGCGCCAGCGAGCCATGACATGAAGGCCCAGCACGACGTCCGCCAACCGCACCCGCAACCGCAACCGCAACTGCAACAATGTCCTCTCCGCAAGCCGTGGCGACACAGACCAGCCTGGCCGTCTCCAACCCGCGCCCATTGGCCGCCCGGCCCGCCCTGCCCGACCGCAACGTGACGCCCGACACCATCGAGGACGCCTACGTGCGCTTCATCTTCTACTGCAATCCCGCCCTGCCCTTGGACGCCGACACCGAGAGCCTGCGCGAGGCCTTTGCGAACCCGCCCCGGAGCGGAGGCAAGAGCTTCAGCCCCTTTCTCATCTTCGACCTGGTCCAGCGCTTCTACCGCAAGGAGATCAAGACGTGGACCGAGCTGACCACCCGCCTGGGCGTCGAGCCGCCAGACCTGTCCAAGGACGAGAGCGCGCAAAAGGTTGCCCAGTATGGCGTCCGTTTAAAGGTATGTGTTGTGCTGTGCTGCTGGCCGCCGCCGGCTTGTGCGCCCTTGCTTCCTTCGCCCCTCTTCCCCTCTCTTTCTGATACTTGTCCTTCGTCGAAGAATTAGCTTCAGGAAGCATCATCGACAGATTGGTTGCTGACATGCGTAGAAATGGATGAACTCAATGCACGTCAAGGCATTTTTCGAATACCTCATGGACATCACCA